GTCTCCTGTCCGGAGAGACTATAAACGTGATGGATGGGCACAGGATGCAGGAGGCCAATTATGGCCGTTCAGCCGGCCTCTCTGCTTGGTCAGGCCTCCCATCACTCCACATCCCTGAGCTCCTCCCCCGCCTGCACATGGAGGCAGCCCATCCCGGCCTTCCAGGAAGAGGCAGTGCAACCTGAGAGGGTGCGTGGCAGACAGCCGGGGCCCCGGGAGACACAGCTCCAAGGACAATGACTGGAGGCAGGCACGGCCCCCCCGGCAGGTCACACCTAAAACCCTGGCCCCTGCTCTCCCCGGAGGCTGGGCACCAAGCAGGCAGGGAGGGAGCCAGGACATCCCACCTGCGTCAGGGCAAGGGGCTCTGCGTTGACCGCACCATGCACGTCTGGAATCCTCGCCGGCCTGTCTCTCCACAGGGTGGGGATGACGAGGCGTTTCTCTCGGGCAGCAGGTGCCTGGCGGCGGCCCAGGGATGCCAGCTCTATGAGCTGGCACGGGAGGAAGTGCCTGTCCGGGTGGTCATGACACGTGCCGAGCTCAAGCTGGCCCGGCCCCACCTCTGCCTTGGGACATGGCAGGGGAGGGGCGCCCACCCCCCGAGGGGCTCCCAGGGTCCCACTGACAGAGATTCCCCCTCGCCCCAGAGCTTGGCAGCTGCCAGCCTCTGAGTGTCATTTCTGAATAAAGTCCCCTCTGGCCTCTGTGCCTGCCTCTGTCCCTGGGAATGTCCGAGGACCCTGCGGTCCACGGGGGTAGGGGGGTTCCAGGCACGCCCCTCCCCACTAACCAGGGGCCCTCATTCCTTAGCCTTGAGTGTGTACACGCATGTGAATCTGAGCACGTCTCCATGTGTGTAGCGAGGATCTCAAGTAGCCCTGTGTCTGACCTCCTTCCAGAAGAAGGAGTGTGGGAGGTGGGACGGCTGATGAGAAAAGGGGCGGGGCCTCTGGGGACAGGAAGGATCACACAGAGGAGAGGATCCAGGTGAATGCGGTGGGGAGACCGTGAACTTGACTGGGCTGTCTCTTCTCCTGATCTGTGCTGCGCACGGGGGTGGGTTGGAGAGCTTGGAGTCCAGGGGCCCGTCTGGCCGGGCCTGGCCCCGCTCTCAGATTTGGGGACCCCCGTGCAACGCCGTCATGGGCTCAGAGCCCCTAGGTGTGGAGGCGCTGCTGGCACAGATGCTCCAGGAGGTGGCTGGGGCACCGGCCCCAGGCCTGGGCTCCCTGAGCCGGCAGCAGGGCTTTGCTCTCTCTGGCTGCCCAACCCATGCCCGCCTGCAGGAGGCCCGTGCCCTCCCCCCGCCCCTCCTGGCCTCCGCCGAGTCTCGTGGCTCAGGGCTGGCGGGCGGACGAGCTGCTGGCACGGGGTTAGGAGCTGCCAGAGCCGCGGCCCCAGGGTGACAGCTGACGTCTGTCCAGGAGCATCTATCTCCCTGCCAAGGGCTGAGCGGCCTGGCCGCGTGCCTTCCCGCTGACACAGGACCCACGTCTGTCCCTCGGAGCTGCCCGCCGCCTGGACCCCGGCCTCACCCCGCCGGGGCGGCCGGCGACAGCTGTGGCATCGCTCCTGGCACGAGGCCTCGCGTCTGCCTCCCCCCAGATGAGCCCGCCACACCCCAGGCCAGGGGCGGACCCCACGGAACACAGAGAACCCCAGGCGTCAACCCTCGGCTCCCAGAACGATCCGGAAGCCCCTGCGCGGACCCTGACCATGGCCGTCGTGTCCGGGAGCTTGCGAGAGAAGAGGCCTGCACCCCTCCCAGCTCATGGCGGGCGCAGCTTCGTCCGCTCAACGCTCCCCCAGAGCTACCGAGTCCCGGCTGCAGCGGGAGCCAAACAGACACGCCCCGTCCTCACGCTGCTTTCGCTGCTCTGTCGCTGGGATTTCTAGCAAGAAAGAGATTTCCCATCGCCGTCCAGGCACACACAGGCACCCCCCAAGGTTTACATGCAGCCGAAGCGACAGTTTCACAAAAACAGCCTCCTCCTGGCCACACGGAGACACCGCTATTGACGTGCCCGATACTCTTTGTAAAGAGCGGGGCTTGAAAAGGAGGACCCCGGCAATACTTCCAGCAATAAAGGTTTAACAACTAAAACAATAAAGAGCTGGGCATGGCCCACGACCCAGGACGTGGCCTGCCCTTTGCAAGCCCCCTGCCGCTATCAGGGAAAGATGATTCGACAGCGCCACAGGGGGCTGCAGTGGACTGTCCCTGCCCCGGTTTTGACCCAAGAACTGAAACCAAGGGTTTCGGGGTGCCCCAGGACGAGTCTGTCCCATGGGGCCTGTTAATAAGGGAGGCGGGGCCAGACCGGCCCGGGGTCACATCAGGTCCTGGGTGAAGAGGGGGCCGAGGAAGCGGAGGGCCTGGAATCCCATTGGCTGGTTTCTTTGGAGAAAACTGTCCAGAGATCCCTGGACCCTGCGTGCGGCCTTCCCTTGGGGAAGAGCCGGGGGTGAGGGTGCAGAGGATGTTACCTTTGAATCCAGGCCCGCGAGGGCCTACCAGGGCCTTCTGAAAGCGCTCTGACTGGACGGAGATGCGGAGGACCGGGCCTCGCTCGGCCGAGAAGAAGCTCAAGTGGTGCCTCTGCCCTCCTACTGGTCTCAGCGTGCTTCTTCTTCACTCCTCTGGTTGCAGGACTTCCATTCAGCCAGCTTCCAGGCGGTTCTGGACGATGTATTTTAGTTGTAACTTGGATGTGGTCGCGGGAGGCGGCGAGTACAAGCGTTTACCTGCGCCGCCATCTTCCCCACTCAGTCTCTCCAAGGAGCTGCAGCTGTGAGGCCCAGCTGGCGATCACGTGCCCCGAAGCTATCAATAAGAGGCCCAACACCCGGCTCCGGCACCAGCTGGCCTTGCTTTCCAGCTGGGCCTCACAGCCCATCGGCCTGGAGGTCAACTCCTCCCAGAGACACCCACAGCACTCAAGGCTCAACTACAAGACTGTGCACACAGCCCGCACAGGGCCACACCCAGAGGGCCCAGCTCAGGTGACCGAGGAGGCTGAGCCCCTGGGCCCTACAGGACACCGACTACACAAGGCCACCTACCGATTCCAGGAGCCATAGCAGCTCTACCCAATACACAGAAGCAAACACAGGGAGGCAGGCAAAATGCCAAGACCAGGAAACATGTCACTAATGAAAGAACTGGAAGCAAGCAAACTCCCAGGTACATGTTCAAAACCTTGGCGATGAGGTTCCTCAAGGATCTTCAGGAGACTCTTCAAAGATCGGAGTGAGAATGCCGAAGACATGAAAAAGGACCCATCAGACATTAAGCATTCAGATCCACGTCTATCAACCATCGGATCTAAAAACCAAAATAAATGAACAAGAAACCCAAGGAACGAAATAAAGGGGTGGATAAAACAGAATCAGAGGCATAGAAGCATGGGGCAGACTGCGGATCTCAGAGGGAAGAGGGTAGGAGGGGAAAGGGGTGGGAGGAGATTAACGAAGATTTCACCCATGGACACAGACAATAAGGTGGGGAAGGCCTGCAGTGGGGCGGGAACCAGGTGGAGGGAAGCAATAGGGATGGGGGTGGGGGTGGGGTGGGAAGACGGACATCTATATCGCTCTCAACAGTAAAGATTAAAAAAAGAAACCATGAGGTCTGAAGGCCGTGTGGAAAGGAGAATAGTGTTCGGGGACCGCGGAGGCTGAGCCACGGGGCCCTACGGGGCACAAGGCCACTCCAGGAGACATAGCAGCTCTCCCCAAAGCACAGGAACGAACACCGGGAAGCAGCCTATGGGAGCTGGAGAGGCCTGGAGGCCGAAGAGAGAAATGTGGTTACCAGTTGGCAGGGCTAGAGGCTCTGGGAGGGGTGTGCCTTGATCCCAAAGCGACAGGAAGCTGCTGGCGGGTTTTATCCAGGAGGCAGTGATCTGGGATTAAGATGTCCTGGTAGCTGAGTCGTTTGGAATGGCGGAGGCCAGGGGAAGGGAAGCCATGAGGGAGATGCTGGCTTCCGCTGGGGAAGCAGCAGCAAGGCAGACCAAGGTGGGGTTTTAAAGACGCCGAGTCGTGCCAACAGGGCGTGGACTGGGTGAGTGGGCGCGGGAAAGCCTGCAGTGGTGGTGGGCCTCTGAGGGGGGTTTCTTCACCAGCAGGCATGGGGGCGAGATGGATGAGCTCAGGGCTGGACTGGTTGGGCTTCCTTAAAGCACGGTAGAGGGCGAGGGGTTTCCCGCTCTTCCTGCAAGAGGGCCCGAGGCCTAACACCCTTGCTCATTCAGTCAGACCCTGGAAACCATGCCCCCAAGGGGCCATCCAAGGACTGGAGGGAACCCTGGCGGGGTGGCTCCTTGGGCGCCTGAAGCATTGAGGACTTCCGGAAGCAGCTGCTGCCCCTGAGTTCAATGCTGGGAGGGACGGGACCCCCAGAGGAGGATGGAGGATGGAGGATGGAGGATGGAGGACGGAGAAGGCTCTGCTGCATCCAGTCACAAGGAGGCCCCTGATGGCTGGCCAAGAGCTTTTGGGAGGATGCGGGGGGTAGCAGTGAGGAGGGGGGCGGAGGAGCGGAGAGGAAGCCAGGGTCCAAGCCTGGCTTGAGGCACAGGTGCCTCCATCTGGCTGTTCACGGCAGCTGCCCCTTCCTACATCCACCTTTCCATATCCTTCCTATGGTGTGAGCCCCAATCCCCGTCAGTCCTCCGGCTATGCTATGCCCCAGCCCGGAATCCTGGGAGGCCCCGCCCGGCCCTGGGTCCCCTGGTGGGGCAGACTGCTCCGCCCACAGCACGCTTTCCCCAGCTCCTTCCCAGGAGGACACCAGGCGTCCCCCATGGTTCTGGGGCCCAGCCCGTGCCCCCCAAACGCCTCTGTGCTGCGGGCGGGGGGGAGTGGTGGTGGGGTGATGGGGGCCCTAGGACCAGCCTCCTCGCCGGCTCCCGGGGCCTCATCGAATCCCCGCGCAGGAACAGAGCCAGACCAGGTCATGGAAGCCATTTATTGGTTTGTTTTAAAAATATGTATCTTATTTACACACAAAGTTTGGTGAGAAGTGCTCGGTTAGTTCAGACAACAGCTGGCACCTGACCCTCGTCCCTCCCTCCCTTTTCCTACCCTCCTCTCCCTTCCTGCCGGCCATTGTGCAGTTCTAGAAAAAGAAGGAAAAAAGCTAAGGAGTCATGCCTCGCCAATCCCTGCCCGTGACCACCCTGTCCGCAGCTCCTGGCGCTGCCAGCGGCCAGCCCCGGGCACCTGTCTCGGGCTCTGGGCTGGCCACCCAACCCCACAGGCTCCTTCCGGCAGCTGGGCTGGCAGCCGGCGCCGCCCCGGCCGCATTCCCGCCCGTGCATGGTGTGGAGTGCAGGGAGGGAGGCCGAGAGCCAAGCACAGGGAACTACAAAAATAAGATTTCCACCCGGAGAAGTGTCGCTGGGACAGTTCAAACCTGGTCCCGCGCTGGGCGCAAAGGGGACAGGGGGTGAGGGAGAAGGGAAACCACTGGAGTGCAGTGGGGTTGGGCCGGGGTGGCAAGGAGAATTGTAATACTTGACTCCCTGGCAACGCCACCGGCAGTGCCAGGAGCTCAGAACGTCCAGCCCTCTGACAGCTCGGAGAGGTAGGTTGGGAGCAGCCCGTGTCTGGCTTCCCGGGCGGCCGAGAGGCGGCTGTGAGGTTGGATGCCCCGCGGAGGGGGGGGGGCGGCCTTGCTGGCGAGCTGGAAGCAGGGGCCCAGCGCCGGCCTGCTCAGGCTCCGCCCACTTGCCAACGCTGTCACTCACAGGGTGACAGCTCCCCACAGGAAAAGATTTGCATATGCTAAATAGGATTGTCAGCAGCTGAAGAGGCCCCCCGGGGGGTTACTGGGTTAGAAAAAGTGTTTTTCCCTGAAAAAGCCTTCCGACAAGACCTGTGGGACAGCCTGGACCCTCCCTCCCCGCAGGAGGTCCTGTGTGCAGGTGCCACCAGGACCCCAAGCTGAGCCGGAGGGGCTGGGCCAAGGCCACACTGTCCCCTTCCCAAGGGGTCCCATGGTTCATTCCCCTCCCAGGGCACGGGAACGAGCCTGCTCAACCCTGCCTAGGACCCAGGCTGCCTTCCCACTCCCACGCGGCTGCGTTTGGAGAGGAGCTGGGACCACACAGGCATCCCCTCAGCCCCATGGATAGAGGGAGGAAGTCCGGAAAGAGAACAGAGTTTCCCTCTTCACATGGATGAAGGGCTGTTGAGCTTCTTAGGCCCAACCCCACGGTGCTCAGCCTGTGTACCCAGCCTGAGGCAGGATCTGCCAGGCTCGGGAGCAAGAACAGCTGGGTGCCAGGCGGAGGGTGGGCCGGCTCCCTCAGGCCCGCCCATTTTACGTTAATACTCTTACAGAGGCCAAGCTTCAGCCCCCAGGACCAGCCCTGGGACCCAGGCAACTCTCTCCCAGAAGCCTTTCGCTTTTGTAGAACTGACCCTACTCGGCTGCTTTTCAGAGTGTCCTACTGGGTCCTGCCTAAACACAGGGGAACACAGGACCTTGGGGACAACGGAAGGCCAGGTGGAGTCCCCGCCGACAAGACGCCCACCGTGGGGCTGGGAGGAAAGGTCTGTCTCCTTGGGGCTGGGCCAGGGGGAGCTACCTGGCCCTCGTCTGAGAGCAGCTGGTGTGTGGCCTGTGTGCGCACATGTGTGTGAGAAGAGGGGCTCAGCCCTCCTGGTTCTGCAGCCCGAGCGGCAGGGGACCCCCTTGCTGCAGGGAAGGCCTGTGGGAGCCACACCGATCCCACTTCTGCTTGGAGAACAGAGTTCCAGCAGCCGCACACCCCCGCTCAGAGTTTGGAAGGGCGGTGTGAGTCGTTGCCCAGGTCCACGGGGGACAACGTTGGTTCTTTGCTCAAGTAAAAAAATATCAAATATAATAAATTTATGAAAGCCATTCACAACATAGACAGTCTCCGTGTTCTACTGTGCCGCAGCAGCTGGGGCGGGGTTGCTTTTCGGAGCCCCGGGGTGTCGCCTGACCAGACCAGGCCACTGGTGGGAGTTGAGGGTCTCCAGGGACAGGCCGTCCCGAGCGGTTGGCTTGGCCAACTGCTCCCGGCCATCCACGCGGGCGCCATCGAACTCTGCCTTGTCGACCCACGGGGCTGAGGCTCATCTCTCACCCCTGAAGCCCCAGGCAAGGAAGGCCCAGCGGGTGCTGGCTTGTGGCTGCCTCGAGGCAACAGGCTGCCTTTCGGGGTGTCTTGGCCAGCCTGGGCCAGGCTCACACGATAGACTCTCGGTCCCTGTCGGGGGACACGGGGAAATCCGCGAGATCTTCGCTGCGGCTGTAGTCAGACACCCGCACCTGGAGGTTGTCGCTGGTGGCCCTGGTGACACTGTCATAGGAAGGGGGAAAGGAGGTGGAAGAGATGGAGGAGCTGGAGGGCGGGCCCAGGCGCTGGGAGAAGCTCTCGTTCATCCTGTAGGCGAGGAGGCCCGCTCGCTCGGGGGCATCCTCCCCGGAGAGGCCCGCCTGCTGGCGGAAGAGGAAGGAGGCGTGCTTCATGGAGCGCTGCAGCAGGTGCCTCCGGAAGGCCCGCTGGATGACGGTGGCAGACACCTCCTCGTGCTTGCGCCGGAGCGTGGTGGTGATGGGCTCGTAGGAGATCTTGGACGGGTTGGCCGCCATGAACTTCTCCTCCATCTGGATCTTCAGGGCGTCCATCTCCCCGGACTCCCCCAGGACCCTCTTGGTGAAGGCGAAGAGGATGTCCATGCAGTGGATGCGGTCGCCGCTCACCATGGGCAGGTCCATGTTGATGAGGCTGATCTGGTTGGGCTTGGCGATCCGCAGCGGCTCGGACAGGGCGTCGGCGAAGTCGGACAGGGCCGTGTACTCGATGAACTGGGTGGCCTCCGGGTCGAACTTCTCCCAGATCTCGTAGAACATGTCGAAGTCGTCCTCGCTCAGGGGCTCGGTGCTCTCCTCCGTGGCCACGCTGAAGTTCTCCAGGATGATGGCGATGTACATGTTGACCACGATGAGGAAGGAGATGATGATGTAGGTGGTGAAGAACATGATGCCCACGGCTGGGCTCCCGCAGTTCCCCCGGGAGCCGTTGCTGTTGGGCAGATTGGGGTCGCAGAAGGGGGGCCCCGTGTTGAGGATGGGGTTGAGGAGGCCGTCCCAGCCGGCCGACGTGGTGATCTGGAAGAGGCACAGCATGCTGTTGGCGAAGGTCTGGAAGTTGAACATGTCGTCGATGCCTGCCTCCCACTTGACGTAGGCGAAGTTGGCCATGCCGAAGATGGAGTAGATGAACATGACGAGGAAGAGCAGCAGCCCGATGTTGAAGAGGGCGGGCAGGGACATCATGAGGGCGAAGAGCAGCGTGCGGATCCCCTTGGCCCCACGGATCAGCCTGAGGATGCGGCCGATGCGGGCCAGGCGGATGACTCGGAAGAGCGTTGGGGAGAAGAAGTACTGCTGGATGATGTCCGAGAGCACGGTGCCTGTGGGAAACAGCAGAGACTGTGGCCACCCGTGGCATCTCTGTCCTCCCTCCAGCCCAGGGGTGCCGGGTGGGATCTCCACAGCGAGGAGCCAGGAAGAGGAGGCCCTTCCAGGAGGATGCGGGTAACGGCAAGGCCCTGCTCCCCCTGCCTCCCTGAACCTCCATTTCTGCACAGGATCCAGAAAACGAGGACTCATGACTTCTGCAAAGTGCCTTCTCAGCCCCTTTGTTTCTTAGTCTTCTGAGAACACAACAACATAGGGCTGTCCTGGGCCTATCATCTAGGTCATGGGCTCTGAGTCCTGAGGGGACTTGCTCGGCATTTTGGTGGCCTAACTTGAACCAGAACTTGGGCCTTTTTCTCAAAGTGTGGTCTGAGGACCAGCAGCCTTGGGATCTCCTGGGCACGTATCACAAATGCAGGAAGGACCTCAGTTCTGCCCCAGTCCCATTGTGCACAGGCCCAGGCGTGCAAGAGGCACTAGTCTGGAAGTCAGCACTCTCTCCTATGCCATGCCATGCCACTCCATGTCACTCGATGCCACACCAGTTACATTTCAGGCTTCCTGAGATGGTTCTTATCATCCTCACAACTCTTCTAGCTTCCAGGGTATACCCAGCCCTGGGTTTCTATTGACAGCTCTGGGCTGGGATTTTTAAGGAGCAGGGATATGACTTACAGGAGAAAGAGTGAAACTGACTTGCCTCATATTGGCCTGAGTGGTTTTTCCCAAGTCCTCATATAACAATGATGCCACTGGTTGACACGTGTCCAGGGTTTTCTGTCAATCAAGCACTGAACTGAGCCCTTTATATCATCCATTAAGCCCTTTCAGTCACCCTAGGAAGTAAGCTGACACCCTCATCCTCGTTTTCCAGAAGAGGAAGCTGAGAGGTGAGGTAACTTACCCTTCTGGCCACCTAGTCAGGGAGAAGCTGGAATTTGACTCAGACACTCTGGCTCCAAGTTGACCTGTTAGCTGTGCCTCTCCGGTATGGCCAAGCACTGGGACCAGGAGGTGTCTCGAGGTACACGTTGCACCTCCTGACTCTGAGACTGCCCATCATCAGCTCTATTCCTACTGCCAATGTCCTGCACAGTCTAGTCCCCCTTGGCACACTCTAGCCCTTAACCCTGCCTGGGACCTCCCTGAGCATTTACTGATCCTTCTCCCAGCTTCTAACCATCTGCCCATCACCACAGCTGTCTTAGCCCCTGCCTTAGTCCCTGCATTTCCCTCCAAGTTCACCAAATGCTGGGACTGTCCACTGCAGAAAGATGAAAGTCAGTCACTCCAAGGCAGAGTTCCGTGGGGGCAGGGTCAACTGTGTGTGTGTGTGTGTGTGTGTGAGTGTGTGTGTGTGTGTGTGTGTGTGTATGATGGGGGAGAGGTGAGGAATGCAGAGAGGAAAGAATGAAGGAGCCTAAGTGTGTGTGTGTGTGTGTGTGTGTGTGTGTGTGTGTGTGATGGGGGAGAGGTGAGGAATGCAGAGAGGAAAGAATGAAGGAGCCTAAGTGTGTGTGTGTGTGTGTGTGTGTGTGTGTGTGTGTGTGTGTGAGATGGGGGAGAGGTGAGGAATGCAGAGAGGAAAGAATGAAGGAGCCTAAGTGTACTTGCCATTAAGGACAGACCTCAGACTGGAGGAGAGACCCGGCCTGGGGAGGGCACCTCTGTCCAGACAACGGGTATACCCACCCACGATGGAGAGGATGACAACCACGAAGTCGAAGATGTTCCAGCTGTTGGTGAAGTAATAGTGCCGCAAGGCGCCCATCTTGATGATACACTCGCTCGTGAAGATGACGACGAAGAGCAGGTTGACCTTGCCCAGGATGTTGATCTTCTCCAAGCTCTGGTCGTCGGTCTCCACCATCATGGTCACCATGTTCAAGCAGATGAGGAACATGATGGTGACGTCGAAGGCCTGCTTGGTCACGATGTCGAAGACGAAGCCCTGGTACTTGTTCTGGAAGGAGGGGCAGACGAGGGGCTCAGCAGGGGTTTTGCAGGCCACGCAGGCCCCCTGTGGCTGACGTTTCCCTGATCACCCACACTCTTAGTTTCCTGTCTGGTGAGGCCAACACCTCACCAGACCGTCACGGTGAGAGGAAGAGGTCAGGAGCTCTGGAACAGCCTGGCCCTCCTGTTGAAGTGCTACCTGGGCTCCAAGGCCCAGCCCTGGGGCTCCCTCTTCCCTCTCTGATGGGTCTTCAGGAAGGGATTTCTCCTACTCTGAGTCTCCTTAGCAGACATTCTTTGAGCTTCTCTTTTTGTTCCCACTGTCTGAAAGCTAAGGTCAAATTTAAAGGTCAACTCTAGCAATTATTCGTCCTCAGGTTTAACATTCTCCACTCTTTTTTAAGGGATTGGTTTTATTTACTCTTCTAACTATATTTATGTGTGTCTTTATTTGTAAGTCACCCCAGATCTCTCTCTCTCTCTCTCTCTTTCACACACACACACACACACACACACACACAAATCCATAACAGAGTATGGTGAAAAGAATCAGATGAAATGGATGAACTAGATTTAAAGATTGGGGCTGTCACTTACCAGCTGGTGATTTAGGCTATGCCACCTAATTACTTTGAGTACTGCCCCCCAGCCCTGCTCCAACATAGACACACTTTATTGGAGAATGGCTTGGTCAGGCAAGGGAGTCGGCCTATGGAGGACCCAACACGCCTCCTGGCCCCACACACCAGGGGATCTACCATTCAGGTGTCGTAAGAATGAGGCGATGAACGCAGCAGAGGCTGCAGACTGCCCTGCTCTCCCCGGGGAAAGCTTGAGCCCTTGCAGCGGAGGAGAGGCTCCCTCAGAGGCAGATGAGCTTCTAGAGGAGGCGAGTGTCCCCTGGTTGCCACAGCCTCACTGCCTCTATGAGACTGAGACCTCAGCGTGTAGTCAGACGCCTGACTACACTGGGCTGGCTGAGGGGCCCGGGCTGGGCCAGAGACCGTGAAGAGGCCATGATAGTTGGCGGTGTGGTATGGGAGCTTTCAGGCTCCCTCCTCCCCGGAAGATCCTCCCCACTCTGGCCAAATTGAGAGCAGGCTCACCAGGGGCCGGGGGATGGGCTTCTGGGGCTTCTTGGAACCCAGCTTCTTCATGGCATTGTAGTACTTCTTCTGCTCCTCCGTCATGAAGATGTCCTGGCCCCCTAAGTGCAGGGAGACAAGCACCAGGATCATTTTGGGGTTCTCAGATGCTCCAGCATGAATCTTGCTTCAATAATGAGGTGCCAGGGCCAGTCTCACCATCACTTCCTGTCCCTCTTAAGTAGGTCCCTATCCTGCACCACAGATTCTTCCCTGAAGTTGCTTTTCCAGGGGGCCCGTCCCCATTCACCTTGAGATTTCTCTGGCTTTGTGACCTGCACATCCTGTCCTTACCCCCTCCCTCTCACCTGCCCAACACAGCCAGGCTGGAGTTCTCTCTGCTCACTCGGTTTACCTGTGAACCAATCATCGGGCAGATCCTGGCCCTTGGCACAGGCCCCACCCATTACCCCTGATCACAGACCAGGTGACGAGCCCCCAGCCTCACGCAGCTTCTCTGAGGAGCCTCATCTCTCAGGCAGACTAGAGCAGGCCTGGGGCCCCTTGTTACACTCTTATAGGCCTAGGCCAGTGGTCGGCAAACTGGGGCTTGCGAGCCACATGCGGCTCTTTGGCCCCGTGAATGTGGCTCTTTCACAAAATACCACGGCCTGGGTGAGTCTATTTGGAAGAAGTGGCGTTAGAAGAAGTTTAAGTTTAAAAAAATTTGGCTCTCAAAATAAATGTCAATCACTGTCCTGTTGATATTTGGCTCTGTGGACTAATGAGTTTGCCGACCATGGGCCCAGGCATACGACCTCATGGACACAGATCCCTGTCATCCCACTCCATCCAGCAGGAGCAAGCAGGGGACCATCGTCAACAGAGAGCCCAAATGGGGCCAGCAGCCAGGACCCTTGGCACCCAGTCCTGCCCGCCCAGGGGGAGGAGTCTGCGCTCTACGTATCTTTTTCTTCTGTTGGTTGAAGTTGTCGATGATGACGCCGATGAAGAGGTTCAGGGTGAAGAAGGATCCGAAGATGATGAACACGACAAAGTAGATGTACATGTAGAGGTTGTATTCCCACTGGGGCTGCTCTTCATACTGAGGGGGAGAAGGCAGACAGGGAGATCAGACAGGCAGGAGGGGGGCTGGCTGGGGGTGTCCACTCTGTGGGGGAGAGGGGCTGTCGGGAGGAAGGTCACCAGCCTAGGTGTGTGTGTGGGGGAGTGGGGGAGCCGAGAAGCGGATGGTGGCAGACGAGGAGAGCAGGCACGCCGGGCTCAGGGCTGGCACAGTGTCACTATGTGGCTTCTGTCCCTAGGCCATTGGGAGGTTTGAGAATATGGGGCATCTCTTAGTCTCCTGTGACCTGTCAGTGTGAATGGGTGGGTCCAAGGACAAAGGAGAAGCTTGATCTTCCTGGGGTAAGACTTTACAATTTAAGTAAACTCCAGTGAATTCCATTTGAAAGATATCTGAGCATTGTGGGACTCCGTGGGAGACCACTGCCCCGGGACCAGGCTTGGGCATTCCAGAGAGGTTCAACGGCAGGTTGATGCACGAGATTGGGCCCTTACAAGGGGGTGGGCTTTCAGAGATGGACCCCGATTCTCCAGTGGCCCAGCAGCTGGGAGCCCCAAGTGCCAACCTACCCCCCTGGAGTCCACAGCCGCGTACATAATGTCCATCCAGCCCTTAAATGTTGCCTGAAAGGAAAAGACGAGAGTAAGAAAATCATTTAACCGCATCGACTGAGCTACGAGGGCTCCTGATCGGATAGGCGAGGCCAGGAAGTAGCCTCCTGCAAGAAGCTAGCAGCCACTCCCCCCCGCAGCTGTGTCCAAATGGCTAGGTGGTCAGGCAAAGACCGTATAGTTCAGAGCTGGCTGGGGGGGGGGGGGGGGGAGGGGGGAAAGCTAGCTGCTCAGACACCCCACGAAGGCCACACAGTGGGGACATAAGCTTCTTGATGTTGGCCAAGAGACAAATGAGGCCTGAAGGAGGGTGGACCTTCATTCAGATCCCCATTCGCCCCAGATTCTAAAATGACAGAGTGCTTGGGCAGGTGTCAGGGACTGAGAGGTGGGGCTTGGGCTCTCTGTCTGGCTTAAGGTGGACCCCGATGCTGCCCTGGTCCCCTTGGCCATGCACCTCAGAGAACCTTGTGGCTTCTGCTCGGTGGCGTTCAAAGGACGTCCCTAAAGAGTCCCACCCTTTCCTCATACTTAAGGGGGCGAAGGGGGGCGGGGGGGAAGTTCCTCTGCCAGTGGCATGTGGGTAAACGGCTAACAAATGACTTTCTAGAAGGAAAAAAAGCCCGGATGGCTGGGTTTGTCAATTTCCCCGTGAAAATCCTCCCACCATGGCGGACTGCAAGTTGCCGAGGAGCAGCTGCTGAACAGAGATGGGAAGACATGACAGGAACGGTGCATTGCAGGGTTCCCAGTGCCGGGATGTAACAGATGTATTCACCTCAGGAGCAGAGCGCAGACCGTACTACGTGGCGATGGCGAGGTTTCATTTCGTTTCAATATCATTTAGTTATAAGTTTATAAAATATAATTTTAAATAACAGCTTGCAAACATCTGGCTGGAGCACACCGTGGCAATAAGACGGGGCCTGGTGCCAGGCTGCTAGGAAGATTCAGGAAGGATCCGAAAGACGGGCTTGGTAGTGAGACCAACCCCCAGAGGGTCTCATGTGTGTCCCCAGCGAAACGCAATCCCGCCCCAGGCCTCCTTTCAGGGTACCCATTTGTCCACACAAATGGTGCGTGTCTGAGAGTTTTTATGAGGCAGACAGGCCAAATGGGGAAACGGAGGCCGCTCCACGGAAGGCAGGCTATGTCAGGCCCTTATGCACAAGGCCCTCACCTGTCCGGAGGAGAAGCCTGGGAGTGCCTTGAGGACCACCCCAGGTTAGGAGCTGCCTGCAGCTAACTGCTTTCCCACCACCGAGTGGTTCTGCCTGCACCAGGGGCCTGCCCTGCCTAGTCCTGGCATTCGGAGGGACGGACACGGGGACGGGAGCCTGCTCTCATGGGTATTCCTGGGGAGTCTTTGGCGAGCACTGCTACTAGGACTTAGGGCACATGTGTCAAACACAAGGCCTGCGGGCCAAATCCGTCCCGCCAGGCCTTGTAATGTGGCCCGCACCGCGCTGTCATCACTGCACTCCGCTGCGTTTCCATCACAATGACAGTTTATGACTGTTCAGTAAACCATTCGGCCTGCGATTTAGGCTGGATTTTAGATTTTGGCCCCTTCTCTGATTGAGTTCGACACCCCTAACTTAGGGGTGCGTGGAGGTTTGTTTCCAGGTGGGAGTCCTGTTGGGCTTTCCTCTGCTTTGGGGTGAGAGGCAGGTGTCTGAGGGTGAGACTGGGATCGAGAGAAAAGCAGGCTGCCGTTTCACGATTATGGCTCTGTTTGCATTTCCGCTGTTGAGGCAATACACAGGTGGAGTTTATGGCAGGTCAATGAAAACTCCGGAAAGCCTGGGCTTAAACCTCATGCATCTGGAACATCGGAGACGGCAGTAGATCTATCCTTTCAAGCAACGCAGGAAATATCACTGCTTTTTGTAACGAAGGGCAGCCAGAGCCACAGCGCTGCTAACCGTTCAGCCCCTGGGTGTCTGTGGTCTTTCTTTCTTTTAAAAATATTTAAATAAATATATTTTATTGCCAAAACAGTTTGGCTCAGTGGATAGAGCGTCGGCCTATGGACTGAAAGGTCCTAGGTTCGATTCCGGTCAAGGGCATGTACCATGGTTGCGGGAACATCCCCAATGGGGGGTGTGCAGGAGGCGGCTGATCGATGTTTCTAGCTCTCTATCCCTCTCCCTTCCTTCTCTATCCCTCTGTAAAAAAATCAATAAAATATATGAAAATATATATATATATATATTTTATTGATTTTAGAGAAGAAGGAAGAGGGAGAGAGAGATAGAAACATCCATGATGGAGAGAATCATTGATCGACTGCCTCCTGCATGCTCCCCCCCACCCCTCAGACTGGGGCGACTGACCACGAGCCTGCAACTCAAGCATGTGCCCCTGGCTGGAATCGAATGCCAGAAGTCTCTGATGTTCAAGACGCGTGAGGTTTAAACACACACAGCTCTGCCCAGTCTTTCCAGAGTGTTTTCCCTTCAGTCCGCAGGCTGATGCTCCGTCCACGGAGCCAAACCAGCCCGGGCAAGTGGTCTTTCATTTTCAACCTGTGCCTTCCCACTGCCAGACTGGCTCCTGGCTGGGAAGGTGGTTCTGCCTTAGTGCCCAACCCCAGGCCACAGAGCTGGGAGGGGTGGCCGCTGCTCTGGAAAGGAAAGTCGGGAGACTTCCCGAGGAACCAAGAAGCATCTGGGGCACCTTGGCCTCCTTTGGGCAATGCGAGCCGATGGTGAGGACTCAGCGGGGGGGCCCCGCTGCCCCCCTCCCGCCCCCACCACGTGTGACGGCGCCCCCCGCAGACGTACCACCTGCAGCAGGGCCAGGTAGCCGGCCCCCACGTTGTCGAAGTTGACTTTGACCTTGGTCCAGTACAACTCGCCGGTCACGTTGAACGACTCACAGTCGCTCTTGTTGTTCACGAGGGTGTAGTTCAAAGGCGTGTCCCCCTCCGTCTGGTTGATGCACCTCCCAAACTTCCCCGCGAAGAGGTTCACGCCCATGATGCTGAAGATGAGCCAGAAGATGAGGCAGACGAGGAGGACGTTCATGATGGACGGGATGGCGCCCACCAGGGCATTGACCACCACCTCAGGGGCACAGAGGAGAGAGACTCAGCCCCTGACGCCACGAGGCCCTCACCTGGCCGGAGAGGCTTGGAAATGGTCAAGACCCCCTTCCCTCCACCCCCAGCCCACCGAACGCCCTGGCCACAGGTCCCTGTGGAGGGGGGAAGGGGGCACAGAGCATTTCCTGTCTCTGAGGAAGGGCGACCCATCGCTGGAAGCCCAGGTGGGGAGGGAGGGGTGTGGGAAAGAACACACACCCTTTCCTCCACTCCCCTCAAGTCTGATGCAACGGCCCAACACCTGCCCTTCCCTTCCGGAATCCATGGCCCGGAAACGGACTTTTCACCTGGGGAGCGGACTCTGCCACAGGCTGATGGAGATACCTGTCTGCGCTAAGTTTCTGGTTCATTGTGGGGGGGGGGGTGCTGCTCCCGGGTTGGGGGTACTCCCCCCGGAAGCGTGTCCCAGGAAGGCAGCCTCTCCTCTTACCCTCATGCCCTCGAATCGGGACAGGGCTCGCAGGGGCCGCAGCGCCCGCAGCGTCCGCAGCGACTTGATGGGGCCCATCTCCGAGAAGCCCAGCGTGCTGGCCACCAGGCTGATCAGCGAGACCTGCGGAGGCACGGGGGGGGGGGGGGGGGGGGGGCGGGAGGCGTGGAGACAGCCCTGGCGACAGGCGGTGGAGCACTCCCGGCCCCTCCCTCCCCGCCCCCAAACAGGGCTGGGCGTGAGAGGCCCAGGCTTTTTAAATATTTTATTGATTTTTTTTACAGAGAGAAAGGGAGAGTTAGAGAGATACAAACATCGAAGAGAGAGAAACATCGATCAGCTGCCTCCTGCACACCCCCCCCCCCCCCCCCCCCCGGGGATGTGCCCGAAACCAAGGTACATGCCCTTGACTGGAATCGAACCTGGGACCTCTCAGTCCGCAGGCCGACGCTCTATGCACTGGGCCAAACCTGTTTCGGAGAGAGGCCCAGGCTTGATTATTCCTGACTGGCTCGACTTCTCAGGCACAGCGCGAGCCTTCCTGGGGCCCCAGAGGCCAAGGGCAAAGCCCAAGTGTGTCCGGGATGAGACACCCCAAAGCCGCCCGCTGGGGGGGAGGGGGGGGGAAGGAGCAGGGACACAAAGCTGGGCCGCTGGGTCCCTATGGGTGTTCCTCAAAGTCAAGTTCTTTGGGGGAAGGAAGGGCTGTCCTGAGTGGAGAATGAGCAGACACTCTCCTGTGGCCTTTCCCCAAAGCCAGACTCTGCAGCATTCAGACCTCTTCAAAGAAGGGGGGGGGGGCTTACGTGGAGACTGGGGGCAACGAGAGCCCCAGCTCTGTCCCCTCCGCCCTGCCCCCACCTTGGCATCTCCTCGTGGACTTCATCCTTCTATTCCTCTTACTTCGCCGCTGGCCTGGAGCACGGCTTAGGAATGGCCTGCTGCCTGACCTCGCAGGCCATCGCCAGTAATAGCACCTTGGCATTGAGGGCAGCCCAGGGGGTGGTGAGGAGCCACAGGCAAGGGCCCACTGCCACAGCCTCCCCCCAGGCTTGGAAGCATGGAGGGTGCCCAGCTTTAGGTGGGCATTCCTGGGCAGGCAGAGGGGCATCTCCCAGGAACTGCCTCCTGAGGGACCAGCGGGCCTGCCTCCTTCCCAGCAGGCCACCCCTGACGTCTGTTCTTGCCCCACCTGCCCCACCCCCTCCACCCCCACCTCGGATGATGGCAACTCCATCCTCCCAGCTGCTCAGGCCACAGCCCTGGCGCCATCCCTGCCTCCTCTCCGTGTCTCACACCTCACTTCCAGCCCATCAGGATTTCCTGTTGGCTCTGTCTTCAAAACGCGTCAGAAGTTCAGCTATGTCTCACCATGTTCCCTCCGCCACGGTGGCCGGCCGGGCCGCCCTCACCTCTCCCCTGGGTGGCTGCCTCCCCAGTCTTCTCCCTGCTTCCAGGCGGGCTCCCTCCCCCCACCCACAGGGCAATCTTTTTATAACGTGAGTCAGGCAGAGCCCTGTGAGGTCTCCCTGCTTCATCCCAAATAAAAGCCCCGTCTTCCCAAGATGCCCCTTCCTGCCCCTGCCTCACCTCCTGCACACCCTCCCCCACTCACACTGCTTCAGCTGCTCTGGCCTCCCTGAAGCGCCTCTTTTTTTAAAATTAAAAAAAAATATATTTGTATTGATTTCAGAGAGGAAGGGAGAGGAAGAGAGAGGTGGAAACATCACTGATGAGAGAGAATTACTGATTGCTTGCCTCCTGCACGCCCCACACTGGGGATCGAGCCCACCACCCGGGCATGTGCCCTGACCGGGAATTGAACCGTGACCTCCTGTCCTGGTTCATAGGTCGGAGCTCAACCACTGGGCCATGCCTGTAGCTCCTCAAGTGTGCCAGGCAGGCACTGACCACAGGACCTTGGCACTGCCATTCCCACCTGTGCTTGGAATGTTCTGCAGACATCTGCCTGGCTCCCCGCAACTTCCAATCTGCTCCCATGTCCCCTCAGTGGGCCCACTGAGTTTTTTTTGTTTTTTTTTGGGGGGAGCCTATTTAAACTTGTGTTGTACCCACCCCCCACCCTCGTGTCTCCCCAACCCCTTCCCTACTTCCTTTTTCTTCACGGTCCACATCCCCTTATGACATAACATAAAACGGACTCACTTATCAAGTTCCCTGCGCTGGCAGGGCCTTTGTCTGTCTTCTTCCCCGAGATCCCCAGCGCCTACACTAGCCCTTGCCCACAGATGCTCAATAGTGTTTATTGAAAAAATGCCCGAGTCGGCCTGAAAACATCCTTCTCCTAACCCTGAGGCCTGGAGCTGCCTTTCCCTCCCGCTGTGGGGCCGGGGGTGGGGGCAGCGTGGCCCATGTCAGGGAAGCTGGATTCCAGCTCACGACCTTCTGCCCGACCTTGGGCAAACCCCTCCCTGCGGTGAGCCCCGCTTCCTTCTCCCGCAGCGGCCTGGCCGACTTGGGCCCTTGGGCCCGGCCCCGAGCACTGACAGGCCCCTGTGCAGGGCCTCAAAGCTGAGCTCCCCAAGGTGGCAGGTGGTGGGGTGTGGGCGGGCCCCTCCAGAAGTCTCCGCAGACTCCTCGGGCTGCCTGGGGCCAGCAGGCCTGACCTCTGGGGGAGGGGCTGGGTGACTGGCCTCCAGAGCTGCCAGGGTCTCGGCAGGGAGGCCTCAGGGTCCTCGCCTTCATCTCAGAGGCCCCGAGGGCTCCAGGCTGCAAGGCACCCAGAGCTGCCTCCCCGCTCCTCTGCTCTGTCGCTCCCCCTGGAGCTCCTCTCACCCCAGCAGGAGCACCCTCTCAGCCACAGACAGGGTGACAGAAAGAGGCTGATCTTATCTCCACGGGGCCTCTCCCGCCACAGCCACTCAAGGCTTGCCCTCCGCCCAGCCGGGGCCGGCCTCCTGGGGCCTCTGAGGAGGTGTGGGATGGAGCACAGGCCTGAGCCTCCTCTGCAGCCGCAGGAAGGACAGCCCCCGCTGGTGGGCAGGGCCCCAGGCCAAGTGTCGACGCCATGGCCGCTTCTGGAAAGCGCTCCCTAGGCTGCAGGTCCTGCCTCCTCCTGTTCTGTGGGGCCCACTACCACCCCGGTGAGCCCTCCCCCGAGTCCTTGGCCTTTGCCCGGCTCCCTCTGCCCTCAGAGCGCAGACCCACGCTGCTCCACAGCTGGCTCAGTTCCCGCCTCTGGCCACTCCCCTGCTTGACCGGGCTCAGGACACCCCCCCCCCCCCCCCCCGTGGGCCCTGTATGCACTCTGCATGGCACCCAGCAGTGTCCTGGGCCTGGGTAGCTGTGGGGTAGGCGCCTCCTACTCCTCTGCCAACTGCTCCAGGCCCTCCCTGGACGCAGCCTGGGCAGGCAAGCCCTGCCAGCTCCCTGATCAGCCAGGGCAGCCACCCAGAACCCCTGGGTCAGCGTTCCTGGCTTTCCTCCTTCTCACTGGTGACCCTCTCCTCACTTCCGGCAACCCCAGTTCCTGCTCCCCAGGTGGTCCGATCTCCCTGAGCCAGGAGGCCCTCTCCTGCCTGCCTGGCCGGCACCTCTGCACCAGCCCTGCCCCCTCTGGCCTTTGGCTCGCTCCATCCCCAGGGCAGATGGCCTCCTCTGTGTGCGGGCACAGACGCTCCTAACTGGCCCCATGGCTTGTGGGCCTGGCAGACCCTCCCAGCACCCCGTGGTCCTCGCTCAGCACAGGTTTGTCCGCTCCGTGCTCCCTTCCCCCCCCCCCCCCCCCCCCGCCCCGCCATGCCCAGAGGGGGAGCCCCCACTCCCGCCCTGGCTCACCCCCTGCCTGCAATGCCCTTCACCGATTCCTGCAGTGAGGCTAGCCTCCCTCCGAAGCCAGGGGGCTCCTGAGGCCCGGGCCCAGGTCCTCCCTGCTCCTCCGTCTCCCCAAAGTAGAGGTTCTCATGGCAGGGCCCAGGCCTCCTACGTCTCTTCTTCTTCCCAGACTGAGGGGCCTGGTCTCTCTCTCCGGGACCCCAGCCTCCCTGCCCTCTGCCTGCGCCAGGGCACAGCCGAGTGCCTCCATGGCAGCCTGACTCCCCGCAGCCCGGCCATCCCGTCGCTTGGCTCTGTCTCAGCTCCTGCTGCTGCTCTGGCGACCGTCTCCCCCTGCCCTTCCCTCCAGGCCACACTCACGTCCACGATGAGGAAGTCCAGCCAGCACCAGGCGTTGGTGAAGTACTTCTTGAAGCCGTAGGCCACCCACTTGAGCAGCATCTCCAGCACGAACACGTAGGTGAACATCTTGTCGGCGTATTCGAGCAGGACCTTGATGGTCTTCCGCTCCTCCAGGTAGATGTCCTCGAAAGCCTGCAGCCCGGAGGGGGGGAGGGGCAAGGGGACATGGCATCCGGACCGCGGCCAACCCCCCCCTGCCCGAGGCATCCACTCTCACGGTACCTTGCACCCAGGGGAGTGGGGGAGGGGGCACATCTGAGACGCCAGAGGAGCGGACTCCTCCAGGGTCAGCTGCAGACAGGCCAGCCAGCCCTCCCGGGAGCGTGGGCCGTGGGCAGGCCAGGAAATGACCTGACGTGGTGAGCGGACAGCAGGGCAGAGCCGAGTTGAGGACACTCCTTCCCTCGCATTACAGAGCAAGACTCGGTCCTGGGCCAGGGCATTTTGTTTAGTTAACTAATTATTTCATTTTTGGGGCGGGGGGGGGGGGGCGGGCTAGGGCATTTTGAAGGCCTTTCTAAAACTTGCTGAGCTCCCCTTTTAATGAGGGAGGGCGTGCAGGCTCGGCTCACAGCCCTCCGCAGGAAACAACGTAAAACTGGTTTTGTTTTCACTCTCCTTTATGCCGTTACCTACTTTCCATAGGAAATAATATTGGTTTCTGGCTGCAACAATCACTAGAAGTTTCCCTTTAGAATAAATACATTAAACTGAACAAGAAACCACCGAGAGTTGACCTAAGGGAACCCTTAAGTAAATGATGGCACGGGCAGTTTGTAACTGCGAAGTTAGGGAACACGGGACCAGATACAGCCAAACCTCCTGCCATCCAGAATCTACGCATCAACGTTTCTAAAACGCTCAAAGCTGCCGAAACCGGTTTGGCTCAGTGGATAGAGTGTCGGCCTGCGGACTGAAAGGTCCCAGGTTCTATTCCGGTCAAGGGCGTGTACATTGGTGGCGGGCACATCCCCAGTAGGAGGTGTGCAAGAGGCAGCTGGTCAATGTTTCTCTCTCATTGATGTTTCTAGCTCTCTCTCCCTCTCCTTTCCTCTCTGTAAAAAAAAAAACACAACACCAATAAAATATATTTATAAATAAATAAATAAATAAAATAAAACACTCACAGCTGTTTTTCTGCCCCTCCTCATTCCTGCCTCAACTCACATTCCTGGGTCAACAGAGAAACCCCCAGGGCTCCACGCTGCCCTCCCCTCCTCCAGCCTCTGATCGGTACCTGCTCCCCTCCAGTGACTGGTCCCCGTCAGGAAGTGCTCTGAGCCTCCCAGTCCAGCCAACTGAACGGGCCACCAAGGGCCCTGGGCGCGGCCTCCACCTGTGGCTCTGGGCCTCCTGGCTGCCTGCAGGCCACCGTGAGCAGCCGTGGTCCAGGGCCAGCGCTGCCCACAGTGCCCGAGCCTGCCTGCTGAGCCCTGAGCATGGCGAATCCAGCCCGCGTACACAGGACAACAGGGAATTCAGGTCCCAGTATGGACTTGGAGAGTTGTTCAAGAAAGAGTTTTCTCTGATTATAAAACTGTATGCTTTTTATAAAAAAAATAACATAGAGCCCTGGCCGGTGAGGCTCATTGCTTGAGCATCCTCTCATGCACCAAAAGGTCGCTGGTTCGATTCCCGGTCAGGGCACGTGCCTGGGCTGCAGGCTGGATCCCCAGGAGGGGGTGTGCGGGAAGCAGCTGGTGTGTGCTCCTCTCACATCGATGTTTCTGTCTCTCTCCCTCTCCCTTCCTCTCTCTTAAAATTATTAAGAAATCTAAAAATGTGAAGTTCTCTCTTACTTTCTCATCATTCACCTTGGGCTCCCTTAAAAAAAAAAAGATAGGAATGTGGCGAAATCTCCCTGCACTATTGTACTACTGCCATTCTGGCCCCCTTCCCCAATGATTTTGCTTTATGTTAAGTGCTATACAATCCCAAGCAAATATATTCATAACAGTTACATTTTTAATATAGGTAGGGACCCTCTTTGTTTTATATCTCAAGCCCTTGAACTCAACCTTGTTTAATATTAACAAACAAAAGCACTCTGGTTTTCGTTGTCATTGTTTTCATTTGCCTGAAATACCTTATTATTTCACTTTTAATATTTCTGAGTCACAGTGTTCCAGGATTGTCATTTGAGAGTAATAGCTGAAGCTTTTTAAAAAATCCATCCAGTGTCCTTTTCTTTTAAAAGATGAATTTTATCCAGTTACATTTATTATTAAAACACATGTTTGATCTTGCCTCTGCCATATTACTTTCTATTTTTCTGATCTAATGCTTCCTTGTTGCTTATTTGTTTTTTCTATCTTTTACTGTAAGATCTATGTTTTCTTTCAGCAATTTGGAAGGGATTTATAGTCTGCTTTCTGTTAAACAAGTTTATAACTTTCAATAACACGCCGAGACTTCTTTTCTCCATATATCATTGACATTTTTTTTTTTTAACACTGCTTGGCTGTCTACCCTGATTAGATGCATCTTTGCTTGCCAAAACTCCTCCTCACTTATGCCAGGCTGAGTTTTTCCTCCCCAGCCCAGACTAAGTGGCTCTGGCTGCCCTTGTTTGTGGTTGTTTAAAAACAAAACTTGTTAACATATTGTCAAGTCATCCTTCCCTGCAGTCTGCAGAGATTTCGCTCTAGCTGCCAAAGGTAAAACAGCCGAGTCTGCAAGTCATGTGTCTGGGCCAACTCCGGAACAGGAGTGGGCAGTCAGGGCGGAGGGGGAGGCTCAGAGGTTAGAAGTGACGGCCACAGTGCCTCCTCATGGCCTGCCCCACAGTGGGCATCACAGCTGGGGGCACCGAGTCTTGGATCAAAGCGACCCTTTCCCACTCTGTAATCCCAAGCGTCTCCTGTTAGTTGCTCATCCCCACAATATCAGGTGCTCGCTCCCTCTGGGTCAGGAAAGGTTCTGTTTCTTCTGCCGTCTTGATCATCCCTCTCCCTGCTCAATAGCACCTTCTAGAGCCCTCTCTAGGGCTGTTCCCTTTCTTGTAATAAGGGATCTGAGAGATCAGAGTTGGGTGTTTGGGAGCCAGATGAGGGTATCTGCTTCTCTAGGGCTCAATAAACCGCCCTGTCCTCCACAGATGTTCCATCTGCTTCCTCCAGGAAGCCTTCCTGATTGCCTCATTTCCCCCTGACCCTCCATCACCCTGAGTCATCTACTCAATGCTGCTCCACTTTCTTGAACTGATCTCTGACTCTCTCCAGCCTGCTCAGTCTGGTTTCCCCGATTACACAGGGAATCCCCCCCGAGGCTCTCCCTGGCTCACAGACGCAGACAGAGGAGAGCTTGGAAAAGACCTATCGAACCGACCGGAAGGCCGGGACAGAGGACTCTGGAATCTGACGGTCTGGGTTCAAATGCCACACCTGCTGCTTGTGGGTGGTGGGGCCTTGGGGCGGCGGGCTACCTAATGCTTCTGCAAAAGCTTGGTGTGGGATGGAATGTAAACACGTGTGAACCGCACAGTGTGGTCTCCCAGCCCCGGGAAAACCTGGGGTCAGCGGAGCCACCGTGGTCGTCTCAGCCGGAATCACGAGTTGCATTGGACCCGCCTGATGGAGCGCCTGAAGCCGTGCACAGTGGTGATGGCGGGGAGGGGTGGGGGGAGAGTGTCACCAGAGCTCAGGTGTGTGAGCCCAGTGACCTGTGACCTATGCAAAACGATCTGGGGCAAATCACTGTCCTTTCATGAAACAAGGAGGCCTGGACCGACGATGACCGCGGCCAAGCCCTTCCTGCCCGGACCTGCACCTGTGCTCCCAGCTGCTGAGCGTTTCCTGATCTGAGGCCCTGGGGGAGGACGTTTTCAGCAGAGGGTCTGCCCCCATCCCTGACCCAGCTTTCCGGAGGGAGACTTCCTTTCCCAGCCTCCCCTTCTCCGCCACCCCTCCCTGCCCAGCCCTGCATCCCCCGGAGGGTACCAGCGCTCCGCTGCTGAGCAGGATCATGAAGATGATGAAGCTCTCGAACCAGCTGTGCTCCACGATGCGGTAGCAGGTCTTGCGCAGCCGCCACCAGACTTTCCCCGGGGCCTGCGTGGTGTCCACGGTGCAGCAGGGACAGCGCCGGACACAGCCTGTGGGGGAGAGAGCGGGGTCAGGCCCCGGCCGGCGGCTGGGAATGCCCATGGCTGATGGCAGGAAGCTCGGTGGTTGAAGGAAATGACGGAGAGACAGAGATTACCATGGTGGGTGAGGAGCAGGGCAACATGGCGGGCGGGGGCCACGGTGGGCAGGGAGGGCTGTGGATGCTGTCTGCCCCAGCCCACACGTGGAAAGGCCCTATGGACCAGGCACGCAGGGAGTGGAGGAAGGGCCTGGCAGGTGTGGGCTGGGTTGGGTGGGCTCCATCTTGTCCTCTGCTCCTCTGGGAAACCCTCCTCCTGCCAGAATGTCCCAGAATTCCCCGGGCTGCTCTGTCCCTGGGCCTTCCCCATGTGTGCAATTTCTGGCCTTGGGAAGAACGGGCCCTGGACTGGCCCCGAATGATGTGCCACGTGGAGGACAATCCCGCATTGCATCCCCAGCTGCCCTCCAAATACAACCCCCATTCACTATAAAAGCTACAGAGGCCAGTCACCATGCCAAGGCCTGAGGGGACAGCGGGGAATCAGACCCAGGCCCTGCCGCTGAGGGAGCCTACAGTCATGCTACCACCCCACAAACGCAGGGGCACCCCACAAACACAGGGGCACCTGTCCTTGGTGCCCCCATGATGAATGGGGAAGGGAGGGAGGGGAGGAAGCTGGGCCAGGATGGGGTGTAACATGGCCACGGGCCCCAAGGAGCTGCTGGTCTTCCTGCCCCTCCCGGCAGGGCTGAGGCTGGGGCACAGGGCCACCCAGGGCAGGACCTTCGGTGAAGCAGTCCTCCGGGTCCTTGTCGTCCTCGCCGAGGTCAGGGATCTGCTCCAGGAGGTCGGCGGTGTTGGTCATGTCCGCTGTGCTCCCCTCGGAGTAACTGTCCTCGTGGGTCTGTGGGCCGGAGCGGGGGGCAGGGAAGGCAAGGACGTGAGTGTGGGCCATGGAGCAGCCTCCAGCCTGGGGCGTCTGGGATGGTGCCCACACTGCTCTCCATTGCCCTCCCGGGGAATCCGAGCCCGGGATGATGGGACCTGCCCCAGAGGTCCCCCAGGGCCAGTCAGGGCTGAGCTGAGGCTGGCTGGGCCTCGGGGCTTCTGGGTCTCTGGTTCTGGTCTGCGGGGTCTGGGGCAGGGCTGTGGGGATGCAAAGACTGGGACAAAATATGGGGATAAAGCATCCGTCCAATTGGGAACAAAACAGACATGGGGTGGCAACACGGAAACACACTGGCACATGGGCACACACAGAGGAAGCAGGCACGCCACACCCAGAACCGAGACAGAACCAGCATCCTGAGTACATGGAAGCACAAGGTCAGACATGCAGAGAACAGGCCAGCCACCCACCCCTGCGCCCCCCATTCCTGTGGGTGCTGGCGTAAGGCAAGGAGTCTGGAGTAAGAGCGGGAAGGTGCTGGGCCGTGCCCTGCCTGGCATGCAGGGCTCTGCTGCCTGGACCTCGCTTAACCTGACTACAGAGAAGGGTGCGCCCGCGGTGTGCCCTGTGCGTGTCTGCGTGTGCCACGTGTGGGTGCCGGCTGTAGGGGCCACGGTGGCACTCTGCCCAGTTCCCTTCCTCTAGGCCAGCGCACCCATCCCGGCCACCGGGAGCACTGGCTGCTGCCCGGCTCCAGCTCCAGAACCGCCCTCAGCCTGGGAGCTGTCTTCTCTGGAAATTGCTTGAAAGCCAGTGTGATGGGCTGATATGGAGGGAACCACGCTGAGGCCAGAATCCAGCAACTGCGCCCCATCACGCCTCTGCCTCATGCTGCTTCCCTCCCTGTGGGTGTCTCCTGAGAGTGCCCCCTCAGTAGGTCCTCGGTGCTGGAAGCCTGTGGCAGGCTCTGCCTCCGGGAGCCCACGCTGAGGGCAGGGAGGCCGGGCAGGGCTTCTGGCAGGAAGGGGAGCCTCCACGGGCTTCCGATCCCGTCTACATCCTCCGCTCAGGTGGCGCCTTGTTGCTCAGGTGCGGGCCCCACGTAGAGATGAGCCGTCCGAGATCTGGGGCCTCTGCTCCTCCCACTGTCTTCCCGTCCCTTCCTCCTGGGCCTGAGGCTGGTGTCTTCAAGTCCCCAGCCTTCACCCTTAGCTTTCACATGTAGGCTGCGATGGGCGGGCGCCGGTGGGAATGGAGAGCTGCTCAGGGGCAGGGTGGAGCCAGGCCCAGGGTGAGGCCTGCCTTGGTGGCCCCCGCTGCCAGGAGGACCCCCCCTCCCCCAGCTCCGCTGTGGAGGCTGAGCTGGGAAAGGCACAGGCGGAGGTCTCCCCCTGCTTTTCCTTTCACGCGGGGGCTGCCCAGAGGATGCGGGCTTGTCACCAGGGAGGCCCAGCTCTCAACATCCAATGGGATGACCGGGTCCTTCTCCCACCTCCCCTCCCCTTTATGGGGTCCAATGTGAACGGATTTAGAGAGAGGAAGAAGCCACGAAACCCGTTCCAAGGTCCACAGTCCAGTAGGAAAGCCCTGCTCCCCATGACTGCCTGCCCCTCCGTGTCTTCCGGTTCCTGGGTGCCTTCTGGTGCTGTCGGGGTGACGGCCCCACCAGGCCCTCCCGCTCCCAAACGGGCCCTGATGGCAAAGCTTCCCACAGGCCCCTCCCATGCCAGGGACAAGGCGGAGGAGACACGCCCCCTCGGAGCGGGTGTCCACGGCAGGCTGCAGGGCAATGGCTCCAGGCAGGGCCTCTCACCACGTGACCCCCTCTTGCATGGTGTTTGGCATGAGCAGGCGGGGGTGGGGGGATAGCAGGGCCACAATCTGTTAGTGCAGATGCGCATGGGGGGCCAGGCAGGGAATTAAGGGGAGCCAGGCGGGCGGGCGGGCCCTGATGGGAACCAGAGCTCACCCCCCCCCCCCCCCCCCCGGGTGCAGGGACCGCCTCCGTCCAGCATGGCGGCTCTTCCAACCACCTTTCCAGAGAAGCCAGAAGTGCAGATTTTTTACATAAACGCTCCTGGGTTTTAGACGTTGGCAGCCAATTCGCATGAAAACCCTTTTTGTGGTCGGAACAAAACCCTCCGGCAGGCCTCCCGTCTGCGGCCTCTGCGTTAGCCCCGTGAGCAGCGGCTGGTGGCCGGCACCCCAGGAAGCCAGGCACTTGTTTTCAGAGCGGCCTCAAGTCCCCCGGGTGGGGGTGGGGGATCCTGCACAGGACACACAGTTGACAAATGGGACTGAAGCACAGGGACGGGTGGGGAGGGGTGAACACATCGAGGTTGGGGGTTCGTCCTGGGATGGCAGCTTCTGGGGTTTCCCCGTGGCTCCGGGCCCCACGCCACCCCACCCTCCCCCGTGTGGACAGGGCCTTCCGTGGTCCCCTCTGCAGAGGGTCTCCCAGGCCCATGCAGGCTCCAGCCCGAGAGGCAGCACCCCGCAGGCTTCTGGGGCGCAGGCGTGTGTTACCTCGCGGCACCCCTGGGTCCGGGGCTCCGCTTCCCGCTGCTGCCGCCTGCCCGCCTGGGCCGCGCCGGCCTCGGCCTCGGAGGAGGCGGTCTCAGACACCTGGCTCCAGGCCCCGGGCTCCGGAGGGGCCTCTGGGCTGCTGGACGCGGGCGGGGGCTCCTGCTGAAGAGACCTCCGCCCGTGAGCTCCCGGCCATAAGCTCCAGGGCCCCCCCCGACTCTGCCTCAGGCCCTGCCCATGCCTCCTGCCCTCCTCCGGGGCCTCATCGCACCGAGGACCCTCCCTCGGGAACCCTGAGTGGGTGGCTGGGGGCTCTGGCTGGGGGCTCCTGGTAGGTCCTGGTAAAGGGCTGGTAGCCCTCTCCCCCTCCCTGGCAGGGTGCAGCTGGACCGCCATGCCCAGCTCCCTTACGCGACAAACTGCACTTTGGATGGACACGATGACATTTCCTGTGAGTTCCTATGGCACCCCAGTTTGCATACACGCATGCACGCACACACACACACACACACACACACACACACACACACGGACATACACACATACACAACCACATGCACGCACACACACACACATGCACGCACACACACATCCCAGGGAGATACACGCATGCACACACGCATGGACACACACATACACACATGCACGCACACACGCACACACACATCCCAGGGAGCTAGACCCCATGGGCTCAAGAGAAGCAAAGGAGAGGGAAAGGAGGAGCAGGCAGTGGGAGTTCCACTCCTGCGCTGGGAGCGTCCCGGAGGTCACTGGAGGCTGGGAGCATCCCGCCCCCTGCGGCCCCCGTCACTGTCTGGGCCCGGCTGGCCGGGCTGAAGCTGGCTTGGGGCCATAGGGCGGCAGGGGGCTGTGGAACCCAGCCTGAAGCCTCGGATCACACTCCACTCCGGGAAGCAGCTGCTCTTCAGGCCAGACTCACCGGGCAGGCCCAGAGGAGGCGGCCAGGATGGGCCCAGCCACACAGAAAAGCCCGTCCACCTTGCCGGACCTGAAGGCCCAACACAGGACGGAGCCACATGAGCCTGGCTCGGGCCACGGGGAGGCCGAGGGAACAGTAAGGGGGCACTGCTCCTGTGTCCAGACTCTGGCCCCAAGTGTTAAAAATAACAGGTTGGGAGATAAGATAGTGCCGTCTCTGACACCTGCCATCTTCGGATGCTTATTTTTAAATCTCAGAATCAGCCCTGGGCCTGGGAGGAGGGGAAGGGGCAGGGGGAGGTCAGGAGATGCACTCTTTTCTCATCAAGACACTGGCCTGGGGAGTCCCCGAGGAAGACAGTGGTCAGAGTGGGGGCAGGGCCCGGGGTCCTGGCTCTGTCCCAGAGGCAGGAAGAACTCCTAGCCAGTCTCTCTCTCTCTCTCCTCTCTCTCTCTCCCTCTCTCTCTCTCCCTGTGCCTCGGTTTCCCTTCCCATACAAACAGCTGCCCATGACCAGCCAGGGGATAAACCATGGACAGCAACCCCTTCCAAGATGCCCTGCTGGGCTGGGCTGGGGAGAGGGTTGAGAGCGGGTCTCAGCTCCCCTCTACAGGGCATGCTGTTGGGGGACACCCTGTCTCCTACCACCGACCGGCCCTGCTGGGGCAGGCTGGCAGGGGCAGCGATGGCACTGAGGCTGGTTGCCATGGCAGCAGAGCCCTGCACCCTACGGAAGCAGGTGCTGCATCCGAGTCGGGGGGAGGTGCCAGGCGGGGCTCACCTGCTTGCTGGACTCCTCCTCGGTGCCCAGGCTGTTCTCCTCCTCGTCCTCCTCTTGGTCCTCCGTGTCTGACTCGGCCACGGCGATGGGCACACACACGGGCTCCGGGTCCCCCGGGGTGCCCTGGCCTGGCCGCTTGCCTTCCTCAAACCGCGTCTCCTTGCGGGCCGGAGGTGCCTTCTCCAGCTCTGCGGGCGGCGGGGGGCTGGAGGTGGCAATGCAGCTGGGCAGCTGGGCCCGGGGGGCGAGGGCGAGGGCAAGGGCAGGCTTCGGGGGGGGCCGCCGCCGCCGGAGCCCGCAGCAGAAGTCCCAGATGGTGCGCTTGAGGAAGCGCAGGCCCCGCTGGATGCGGGCCAGGGCCAGCTGCAGGTTGTTCATCTCCCCGTCCTCGTCCGGCGCCGTGAGGTTGTCGGCGCTGAAGGAGCTGAGCAGCAGCGCCAGGAAGAGGTTCAGGACCTGGGGAGACAGTATGCTGGGTTCACCGAGGCGGGCGCCGGGCGGGGGTTCCGCCTTGGGCCCATGATGGGGAAACTGAGGCCCAGGGACCTCTAGGACAGCCAAAGGCCAACAGCTCTAGGTCCAACCCTGGGTCCCAGGCCCTGATGCTAACCCCCCTTCTCTCGAACATGGGTTGGCAGTGAGAGGAAATACACATTCTGATCCCCCCTCCAGGGTCTCAGTACGTGGGAGCTGAGGTTGCACAGCCCTAGGTCTCCTGTGTCTTGGCCCAGGTTCCACGGGCGAAGCCTGGGTCCATGCCGAAGCGCAGGCCTCCCTGCCGACAGCTGCCTCGGGAGAGGGCGTAGGGCTGCTTCTGGGAAGCGGGATCCAGTCTGGGGCCACTGGGGACAGACAGAATCCCACCCAGAGAGGCTGGGGCATTTGACTCTGCACCCGTTGGAGGGGTAGTGACGTGCCTCAGAGTCTCCCCCCCGCTCCGCCCACCCACTCACCACTCAAACACCTGGGCCTCCTGCTGTGGAGCACCCTCCACCCTGTCCCAGGTCTCGCTATGCTTCCCAGGCGAGGCCTCGGGGGCACTGAGCAGAGAAGGGGACAATGGCATGACAAGAGCCCAGGTAGCAGCCCTCAGGCATCTGGGACCAACTGCCAGGTCAGGCTGCTGAGACAGAGTTGTGTCTAGGCGGTGAGGGATACTTGGATGGGTGCTGGGTGCAGAAGCAGACAATGGGATGGGGTGAAGGGACCCGGGGTTGGTGCCAGGGGCCAGCCCTGGCTCCAAGGCCCATTGTACTAAGGAGTCAGGGAAGGGGTCAAGGTTTTAGAGGTGCTGGGAGTCACGCTACTTAAATGATGTATGTGGGGGGGGGGGGTCAATGGGGAACTAGGGGGACATCGGTTATATTAACAGTACAGATAAAAATTTTAAATTTGGGGGTTAAGGACTTGACTCCTAAGGGAGATTGGCATGGTCCTCTGCGTTTGCGTGGTCTGGATTACTGCGTGGGGCTAAACCATCCTGCAAGATGCTTTCTTGCAAATGTGAGTTTGTAGCTGTTGCTACAAAAGCAGACGTTTGCTGAGTGACCAGGGCCGGGGCACGGGCCCAGTTGCCAGCTTCCTGAAGGTTAAATAAAGCTGGTGCTGGGCTCCTTCCCCCACGTAGGCCACACCCGGCTGGGAGCATTACCAGGCCAACAGGCCAACGACACAGCTCCCCACGCTGGGCTTGGTATCCCCTCACAAAGGGAGTTCAGTTGGGATGGGGGCCTGTGCAGCAGGGAGTTGTGTGAAGGCGGGGGCGCAGTTCTCACTCGGAGCCCCTGCCCTGGCTTCTCACAAGCTTCGCAGACACACCTGTCAGCAAGCTGGGAATGAGACTCTTCGGGAGCACCAGCCCTGATACTGGTCTTTTTTTAAAAAGAGCAACACACATCCACGTGGACAGCATGGGAGGATTAAGAAGCAGGACTTCCGGATCCTATCTCTAGGGAGAAATGGTCACTTTGGACACCTGTAGCCTTTCTTATGGCGTCTTTGCGGGGGGCAGGGCATGGAATGTGATCCAGAGCTGCTGTCTCCGCAGACCTCCGGCCTGGCCTGCTCCATGTTCTTGTGGCCCACCCTGGATCCTCTCCCACGGCCCTAGCTCACGCTCCGCCCACCGCCCCTGACCTCCAGATGTCTGGGGCCCAGGCTGGGGGCAGGGCAGGCAGGGGGCGCCTGGGTAGCCCCGTCCGTCCACCCACACCCGACACTAGGGCCTCCCTTGTCGGCAGCTTCAGAAGTTTGTCTCCTTCTAGTGCTTTCCCTGTCAATCACGCTGCTGCTCCCCAGCCCCTGCCTGATCATCACTTCCCATTCTAATGGCAATTGCTTCCTCCCACGACCGGCAGCAGCCCAATTCCTGAGGCAGCCAGGGCGAGGGGGGAGGTGGAGGAGGGCGCCTGCGTGGGCTGTCAGCTTCCCTCCCCAGCAGCCTCTAATCTCCTCATCCCCAGACAGATGTGCTGGGAAATGGCAGGGCTGTGTGCTGGAGGGCAGCTCAGGCTGGCCCTCCTCTGAGAGCTCTGTGCTCGCACCCTCCTTGGACACGTGGAGTCCCCCGGTTTGAGGAGCTGGGAGGAGGGCTGTGAGGCCAGCCAAAGAGCCGGGTTCCAGTAGCTCTGTGCACCAAAGCCGTCCTCCTCTCTGGGCTCCTCCGCCCGTGGGGCCTGCAGGAGGCTGACCCCGTCTCAGCCTGGGCCTGCCCTGGCCTCGTGAAGGCACACGGGAGGAGAAGATAGACCCATCTGAGGAAGGGCCCTAGAATCTGCAGCTCACAGTAAGTACTCCCGCCACCTAAAACCTCTCTATGAACTGACGTGAACCAGGGCTGCCCATGCCCTTGGGAGCCAGACCATGCGGGTGCGGTGTCTGAGCATGTGTGGGCCACCTGTGCACCCAGGAAGGGGGCTCCATGTCCACAGAGGACACGGAACGACGGACTTGCCTCAGCCCTGACTCTTCCAAAGGCCCCCTCTTTGGCACTTAGCGTTTGATCTCTCTCATCTCCCAGATTCCCCATACTGCAAACACACAAGGCAGGACGCACTTGCCCTTGACAGACAGGTGGTAACGGTGGCATGAGGGATCATGGATCCCTCATGATAGGATAGCAGGAACTGCCACCACAGCTACCCAGGGAGACATACAAGGCTCCCACGGGCCCACCTCACCTGGACCACCGCCTGCTGGCACCTGTGTTTTGCTCACCCCGCCCCCTTCCTCTCTAGCATTACATGTCTATCAGGTCAGCTCTAAACACTCCTCCAGGAAGCCTTCCCTGATTTCCAGCTGGAGGGGATCAGCACCGATAAGCACCCCTTAATGGCTCTCTGATCATTCTAAAAGTTCTAATTTCATGCCTTTTTTTAACTCCCCACCTCCCCACTCTCTCAAGTTTATGAGGGCCACATTCAACTCTGTATATCCATTAGCCTCTGGCAAAATAGTTTGCATACAACAGGGGTTCAGCAGATATTTGTTAAGTTGAATTGAAAAAACCATGCGATAAATCATTGCCAGTGAATGGCTAATAAAATATTAGGTAAGTAAATTAATGAAGGTAAAATAAGGAAATAATAAGGAGGCAAGTAGGTCTGTAGATTAAAGAGTGAGTTAACAAATAAAGAGTGATATAAATGAATGAGTCAGTTAGTAAGTAAATAGGTAGATAGATTGATGGAGAGGTAGACGGATGGATGGGTGAGTTAATGGGTGGTTGATTTATGAGTGGATGGCTGGCTGGATAGGTAGATATATAGATGAGTAGAGAGAAAAATAAATGGGAAGGGAATGGGTGAATGGATGAAAAGTCCTATGAGGGTATATTGGTGGGTAGATGAATGAATGGATGAATGAGAAGACAGATGGAAAGATGAGTAAATGAGTAGATGGATGAATGGATGTGTAAATAGGTGGATGGATGAGAGATTGATGGGTGGATAGGTGGTTTGATAGACAGAAGGCTGAGTGAATGAATGGATGAATGGAAGGAAGGGCAAATAAATAGACAGATGGGTAGCCGGTGGATGAATGGATGAGTAGGTGAAGGTGTGTGCGCCAGGCCATTGGCCAACTTACCACAAGGTTGCCAATGACCATGACAAGCAAGAAGACCAGCAGGCACAGGGACTGCCCAGACACCTCCATGCAGTCCCACATGGTCTCGATCCACTCGCCACAGAGGATGCGGAAGATAATGAGGAAGGCGTGGAAGAAGTCCATCATGTGCCAGCGGGGCAGCAGGCCTGGTTCGCTGATGCGGTGCCTCAGCTCTGAGTAGTTTTTGCCGAAGAGCTGCATGCCCACCACGGCGAAGATGAACACGATGATGGCCAGCACCAGCGTCAGGTTCCCCAGTGCCCCCACCGAGTTCCCGATGATCTTGATGAGCGTGTTCAGCGTGGGCCAGGATTTGGCCAGCTTGAAGACCCGCAGCTGGGGAGGGAGGGGTCCTGTGATAGGCTCTGGTTCCCGGTGCCCACGGACACCCTTCTCTCCCTCCCACAGTTCCTGCCTGAGAACCCAGGGAGCCCTTGAAGGTCACTGACACCTGGTTCCTCCAGGTTTCTCCAAGAGCATCCACCACTGTTCCTTCCCACAGCCTGAAGGTGACTTTAGTGGACTCTGCTCTGGGAGTCCGGTCAGCAGCTCCAGACTCACCCCCTCCCCCCCGCCCCCCCCCCCCCCCACACACACACAGCCCTTCTATTTGTCTTCACGCTAGCCTCCTATTCCCCTTGGTCTCACTTCAGGGAACTTTCTAGATTCCCCCAACAGGGGATGTCCTTTTTCTGCCAGGCCCTTCATCAGAAACCCTTCCAGGCCAGCTCAGCCAGCTCTAACTTACCCGACCTCCTCCATTTCTCTCTCCTCTTAGTTATAACAGAGAAAGGGGTCAGTGCTTAGCAATCTACTGCGTCAGACCATGTGCTTAGGATGCATCAACTTATACAGAACAATAACACATGGGCTGGCACTCTTACTCCCTCCTTTGGCAGATGAAGGCGACAGCCCTTAAAAGTGGAGTCACTTGTCTAAGCTCCTTGGCTCGTGGCAGTGGAGTTGGGCTCAGAACTCACCGCCTACGCTTTCTCCACTGCTCCCACCACGCTGCCTTTCTGGTCAGTGCTAGACTTCCCGGAAAGCCTTCGCTGACCCCCCTCCAGCCCAGTCTGGACCTCTCAGGCATCTCAAACTTAAAGCACAGTCTACCAGGAGCTCTGGCATCACCTGAGACTCACTGAGCTGCCATCCACAGTGTAACAAGATCCGCAGGTGATTGGTGTGTGCATTTGTTCGCTAAATGCGGATTCTGAAACCAGCAGGCAGAACCCCAGAGAGCTGTCGGCAGACCGGGCTCCACCTGCTACTTGCCATGGGGCTCTGGGAAGTGGTTTCTGAATTCTTTCTGAATCACTGACTTGCCTCAACCATGATTCTTCCAAAGAACCCCTCTTTGGCATGTAGATGTTGAGCTCTCTCAACTCTGCGATTCCCCACATTGTGAAGACACAAGGCAAGAGGCACTTGCCCTTGACAGACAAGTGACCATCAAAGCAAAGGCCCGGATCCCTCATGACAGGACAGCAGGAACTCCCATCACAACCACCCAGGGCGACAACCTCTCTGAGCCTCAGTCTCCTCATCTGTGCAATGGGGATATAGTAATATTAGCCCCACTCCTGGGACTACAGGGTGAATCATAAAGGGCTTTGCCAATCATCTGATGGCCACCCTAATTGCTCCTCTGGAGGGGTATCTCATTCTGTCCTGCCCCCCACATCACCAGCACTGGGCCTGGCACCCAATAGCTGTTGGGTGAAGGCATGATGGCTCAGAGTTGGGGGGAGTGAGTGGTGCCCCAGGCACCTGCCCCGCCCCCCTGCAGAAGGCCCAGCAGGTACCAGGCGGAAGGAGCGCAGCACCGACAGGTTGCCCATGCTGGACAGGCCCAGCTCCATGAGGCTGAGGATGACGATGATGCTGTCGAAGATGTTCCAGCCCTGCTGGAAGTAGTAGTAGGGGTCGAGGGCGATGATCTTGAAGGTCATCTCGGCAGTGAAGATCCCCGTGAAGACCTGGGAGGGCGCGGGAAACAGGGGTTCCCCACAATTGGGCTGGAAAGAGCCTCTGGCCGTCAGGGGTGCTTGTTCCCACAGGGTGTCCCTCTTCTGGGCTGCCAGCTCTGACTGCACCCAGGCTCCCAGTGGGAATCTGCCTGTCTGTGGCCTAGCCCCTTAGGGATGCCTCTGCCCTGAGTCCTCCAGCTTGCTCTGTTGCTCACCAAGCATGAGCTGTCAGCCTGTCCCTCAGAAACAGACAGGCCCATTGAGCACTCTAGAGAAATTCAGTTCAGGAAGCACTCGAGGGCCCTAGACTCCTTCCAGCCCATGTTGCCACAGGACACACCCTCACGTCACACGTGCCCAATACATGCATTCATTCCCATAGCTCCTCATGGCTCTCCTGGCTCAAGACCTTGGTCACGCTATGCCCACTCCCTCCTTGTCCACCTGCTGAACTTTTCTCACTGGAATATCAACCAGCCACTATTTCTTAATTGTCCTAAGAGCTAGGCTGGAATGCTTTGCAAATGTTGCTGTTTTGTGTGTGTGTTTTTTTTCCCCATCAACAAGCTGACAATGAAATTATCATCTCTATTTTATGGGTAAGGACACGGAGACACGGAGAGGCCAAGTAACTTTGCTCGGGTCATGTAGCTAGTGTGTTTGGGAACCAGAGATGACCCGTGCTGTCCTTCAAGATTTAGAGTGACCGCCTCTTCCTCTGGAAACGTTCCTGAGGTGGGCAGAGGCGGGGCCTCGCCTGGTTCACTCGTTGAGATGCCTGGCCTCAGCCAGCAGAGACCCATGCTCAAGGAGCCCATCCTGTGATGGGCCAGGCAGCTGGGGATACTCCTCTGAGGGGTGCCAACTGCTACCACAGGACATGGCCCCAAGAGGAGGGGCGTGTGGCTGGAGGGAAGGCACGGCCAGTCCACAAGGCCTTTTTGGCCAGGTGGAGGAGCTGGGGGTGATGCTGAGGGCAGTGGGGAGGCACTGAGGACTTCTGCACTTATCTAAAAGCATGCATGCTTTTTTAGTTTTAATGTATATGATAATAATATACACTGAGTGGCCAGAGTATTATGATCTCTGAACACATAATAATCTGGCCACTCAGTGTGTGTGTGTATAGAGGCCCAGTGCATAAATTCATGCATGGGTGGGGTCCAGCCAGCCTGGCCAGGGGGAGGGGACATGGGCGGTTGGCTGGCCTGCCTGCTGGTCGAACTCCTGGTTGAGGGGGACATTTGCATATTAGCCTTTTATTATATAGGATATACACTGAGAGGCTAGATGGTTATGCGTTCAGAGATCATAATAATCTGGTCACTCAGTGAATAGTATCTTTGCATTATTTTAAGCAGAATTCATTTTGATCAAGTATATGTGTTCTTTTTTGCAAGTTCTTTTTATTCTAAACATTATGTTTATCCATAACAATATATGTATATGTATTCATTCTAAGTGTATTTCATTGTACAAATACACCACAATTGACTTATCTATTTTTTTAATGGATGGAGGAACATTTATGTTGATTCTAATTTTCCCTACACTTAACAACACTGCAAAGAACTTTCTTGTATGTGTCTTTTTCTATGGACATGTGAGACTTTATAGAGACTAGTATGTGTGTGTGTGTGTATATGTGTGTGTGTATATATATGTGTGTGTGTGTTTGTATGTGTGTATATGTGTGTAAATATATATATATATATATATATATTTGTATATTTGTTAATTGGTAGGTTATGCACATCTGTGATTTACCTGATTGTACAATTTCTCCCTGTTGATGGTTGAACCAAATCCAGACTCTTACAAAGTGAGACTTCTCACTGTTTCATATCCTTGTCAACACGTGGAAGTTTATTTTTGATTCTCTTAGGAGTGAGAAATAGTATCTCCAAGTTGCTCTAATTTGCATTCCTCTGAGTTTCTTTCTTCTTCTTTTTTTTAATCTCTATTGCTGAAAGTATTACATATGTCCCCTTCCCTGCCTGCCCCCTCCCACCTCCACCCCACCCCCCACCCCGCTCCATTCTAGCCCACCTCCTTCCATCTGTGTTTCTTTTCATTTGTTTATATCCATCTGAGCATCCCCTTTGGGATTTGCCTGTCATTTCCTCTGTCCATTGTGCTGTCTTTTTGCCACTGGGTTGTCCCTCTTTTCCTTACTGATGCGTGAGCATTCAATATTGATTCTGGATTTCATGACTTTCTGGTTGAATACTTTTCACAGTATCAATTTCTAGTTTATGGTAGTGACTTCACTTTGTTTTATCGTATCCTTTATTTGATGGGTATTTTAAATTTTAATTTAAGTAAACTTATCAATCTTTTCTTTCATGGCATAAACTCTTCATTTTGCTGAAGATAGCCTTCCAAACTCTAACATTTTTTTTCTCGCTTTTATTCAGAAAGTTTAAAAATGTTGCTTTATCATATTTAGGTGTTGGATCCAATTCCCCACAAATGAGTATGGTGTGGGTAGGGATCTAAATGTATTTTCTTCTCTATAGATAACCATTCTGCCCACCATTATTCATTATTAAATAGTCTATCATTTTTCAACTGAATTATAATGCCATTTTTATTATTTATCAAGTCACCAAATATGCACTTTTTATTTCTGAGTTCTCAATTCTGTAGCAGTGGTCCAATGTTCTATCGATATCTTTGCACCAATACTATAACTTTATAATATATCTTAATACATGTAGGGTAAATTTCCCATCTTATTCCTAATTTATCTTGATAGACTTTACTTTTCTATATGAATTTTAGTGTTATCTTGTCAATTCTCATAAAAAGTGTATTGGGATTTTGACTGGAATTACATTAAGTATCTAGGCTAATTTGGGAAGAACTGCTATCTCTACAATATTGAGACGTTCATTCAGAAAAATGGTATATCTTGTCACTAATCTAAGTCTTCTTTTGTACTTTTTAATAGTTTACATTTAACTAGATTCTTCATAGTTTTTATTGCTGTTTATTTTTAAGAGTGTCAACTTTTAAACATGACTCTCTCCAAATGATCCTGGTGGGTAGGAGCAGAATTAATGTGGGTAAACTGAGCCTGTGTCTAGTAACAACTGGTAAACACTCTTATTAGTCCTGATAGTCTTTGCGTAGATTTCCTTACTTACATAGATAATAATATAATCTGAAAACCAATGTTCGATCTGTCCTCTTCTTTCTTTTCCTTCTGTTACCATGGTGATAAGGACCTTCAGTATGATTTGGACTGGAAGCAGGGAGGTAGACACAAAGCTGGAGCTAGAGCATGGCAGTGAAGTGCCCCAGGTATGAACATGGGCTCTAGATACAGACGACTCAGTTGTGAATCCTGGCTCTACCACTTCCTGGCTGTGTGACCTTGGTTAAGTTATTACTCTGTGCCTCTATTCCTTATTAATAAAATCAGGGTAATAATAATAGCATCTCCCTTAGTAGTTATTATCAGAAATTAGGTGTTCAGAAAATATTAGCTATGACTACCACCAGCTTCCCATCTATCTTTGTTCCTGACTTTTAACGGGAAGACTGCTATAATATTTCATGGCCAAGAATGATACTATAGATCATTTAGGTCGGATTATTTCTAGTTTGCTAAGAGTTCTTACCACAAAGGGTTTGGTTTTATTAGATGATTTTTCCACACTGAAGGGAAGATCATATGTACCTGGAATAAACACAACTTGATCACGAGGCGTTTATTCTTTACTTATTTGATTTTTCTTAATCATACACTGCTGGATTTGTTTCAGTTTATCTCTTTTCTCTTTTCTTTATGGTCTTAAATCTCTTCTTGGTAACTTCCATTTTTTTTCTAAAAAAATTTTTCACTTAGTCTGTTGAAATGTACTACTATTAAGTTGTTTACAATGTTTTACATTGTGCTTTAAGCTCTGCTGTTGGTATAGTTATGCATCTTTTCCATCTTTAATTTATTTGTCCCTTCAATCTTTACATTTTATTCCTGCTAAAAAAATCTGTCTATTAGTCTTTTCAGAGTATGTTTGTTTAAAAAAACTTTTCCATAATATGGAGCAGAGTGCGGAATCTCGGAGGGAAGGTGGGGGTGGATGGGTGGGAGGTAGTCAACAAAAGATCTTTTATGCATATATGCATGGCCCATGGGCACAGACAATGGAGTGTTGAGAGCCTGAGATAGGGGTGAGCTGTTGGGGTGGAGGGGAATTGGGGAGGTGGGGGGCGTGCTAGAGGGGGTCAATGGGGAAAGAAAGGGGACATATGTAATACTTTGAATAAAGAACTATTAAAAAAAACCATTTCATTTGATTAAAAAAAGGCCTTCTCCATAATTATTGGCACACTTTTAAAATTATGTATTAATTTCCTGCTTTTATCTTTAATTTTCTCTACATTTTTTACTAACTACTTGAATCAAATGATAGGCTCATTAATTTCCAACTTTCCCTTTTTAACGTATATAGGGAAGGACAAGAGTGCGTTTACAGTTGTGAGGACATGAAACACAGAGTTTATTCTTGTATTATTAATTTTGTGTTATTTTTCAAATGAATAACGGCAAACCTACTTTTGTTCCCCTCTGTATACTTTAGGCTATGAATTTTCCTCTCAGTACTGCATTTGCTGGCTGACACTGATAAGCTTCCTTCTTTATCATTCCTAGTGTCTGTGTGTGGGTTTTTCTGGTTCACTATTTTACTGAATGTAGGGTCATATACCTACGGGCTACTTAGTTCCAACCCCTATTCACACTGTCCCAAAGACACATCTTGTCTCTACATGGCCACTGAAATCCAAACTCCCAGATTACTCAAATCATCAACTACTCTCTCACCCCATCCAGAGCAACGACAGAACCATTGCATGTGTACTGCTATGGTTTTTAAATCCCTTGTTTTTGGCAAGCAGGCATTTGTGTTACTTTCTCGTGAACTTTGCTCTGCATGTCAAAGAATGTTAGTTATATCTTTAATTGTTTCGCAGTCAGAGACTTCTCAGGCTTGCCTTACAGCATTGCCTTTTACCTTCGATTATACACTGAGTGGTCAGTTTTTTATGATCTCTGAATTCATAATAATCTGGCTACTCAGTGTATATCCTGTATAATAAAAGGCTAATATGCAAATTGTCCCCTCGACCAAGAGTTCAACCAGCAGGCAGGCCAGCCAACTGCCCATGTTTCCCCCCCCCCCCCCACCCTGGCCAGGCTGGCCGGACCCCACTCATGCACGAATTCATGTACTGGGCTTCTAATACACACACACACACACACACACACACACACACACACACTGAGTGGCCAGATTATCATGTGTTCAGAAATCATAATAATCTGGCCACTCAGTGTATGATGGGCTCAAAGCTATTCAAATCTAGAAATCTGCTTTCTAGCATTTGTCTTTGATGGCACGCTTTTAAAGGCTTTTTCCCTACCAGGATTATTCACCCATGTTTATTTCTGTGGTCTTGTTTCTTTTCATTGACTATTTAAACCACTAAAGTATATTAACTGCAAGACAATAAAAACCTTACATACGAGCAATAAAGCCCTCCAAACAGAACAACATATAGCTATAACCCAACTACGTGACCTACTAATAGTAATCGAGCCACAAGTTAAACACAGCTGCGATTCAATCACTACTGAATGACCTGGTGAAGTCAACAGAGCTCCTTATCACCTTGACTCAGAGCTTGGTCCAAACCAAGGGTCACCCTCCATAAAACCGCATTCAACGGAAACCCTACGTCACCGCCATCTGAAGACCAACGCAAGGGAGGCACCTTGGGTGATGAGGCAACCTACAGACTGGGATACAGCTTTCCCTTCTGTTTGCATATAAAACTAGAATTACAGCAAACGCACACAACTGTGAAGACAGCGGACTAGATCCTGTAGAGAGCTGTCCAGCGTTCTGGATGGAGAAAGGAGTAAGAGAAGACAATCTTCACACCCCAAAGTGTGGGAGACCTGCCTGCCTGGTGGAGGGTGGACAAGACAGAGCTGGGTCTGCAGGAAGAGAGGGGTTAGATCAAATGACTCCTTTCCTCTCCCCAAACTTGGGGATAATCCCAGGAGCTCCTCCTCGAAGCCAGCGGGGTCTTTGCCAGCCTTTCCCGGGGCTCCCCCGGGGGAGGGCTGATTGTGTATCTGGACACAGCCAACAGGGCTCTGTCGCTCAGAGTCAGGAGACAGAAGTTACATGCCCAGCTCTGTCACCACTATGGCCCCTCTCAGGCCTCAGTTTCCCCTCTTTCTCGTGAAGAGGTAGGGCTTGATTTCATCTCAAGGGAAAGAAATCAGAATTAGAACCCAGAGATCCTGACTTCCAGGGACAGTCTCTTTAATAATAACCACAGCAGTAATAACCACAGCTATCATTTACCTTTAGTGCTTATCGTTTATCAGACTCTGAGCCAAGGACATTACACATATTATCTTATTCAGTCCTCATTAGCTTCCCATGAAGCTGATACTGTCATACTAATTTTACATTTATTAAATTCAAGAAATATGTTTTGTGCAATTACTGAGCCGAAGTGATTTGCTTGAGGTCACATATAGTTAGTAAGAGCTGAGTCAGAATTCAGATCTGGCTCTGCATCATTTACTCGCTGCACCCAGCTGTCCATCCATTCACCCATCTCTCTCTCCCTCTCTCCCTCCAACAATCCATCCATCCATCCATCCATCCATCCATCCATCCATCAATCCATCCGTCCACCCACCCACCCATCCACCCATCCTTTTCTCCATCCAACAAACACTGATGTCCACCTTCGGAAACTATGGCTATCAGAGAACTGCCTGCTTCTTCACCCCCTCCCCTCCTCCATCTACTGCTGCCAAATCTCACGTCCCCACACATTTTAGGCCCATCCCACCTCCCTTTTGCTTTGTCACCTCTGAGCATCTTCATTCACCTTTATCCCCAACCTCTCCCTCCCAACTACATCTCTCAGTTCCTTAAATGCTGATCCTGAAACTCCCTACTTCAAGATGCCTTCCACGATGACCCCACCATCGGAAAAATCCTTCTGCCCTCCGGATCCCTGTGCCCTGTGCCAGGAAGGCCGGGACAGCTGGCCGAGAGCCGTTCGCACCAGGATGCCCCCTCTGGAGTCAGCTCCCAGAGGCCCTTACCAGGTTTCCAACTTGCAGCATCTCCTCGAACTCCGTCGTCATGTTGTAGTGCTCCAGGGCCATGAACAGCGTGTTCAGCACAATGCACATGGTGATGGTGAGGTCGGCAAAGGGGTCCATGACCATGACCTTCACTTTCTGCTTGATAGACATCCACAGCGGGCAGCAATCCCAGATCAGGTAGCGCTGGGCGAAGTGGTTCCAGCATGGCGGGCACTTGCGGTGAGACTCCTCCAGCTCTGGGGGAGGGACACCGGGGAGCTGGTTTGCTCTTGTTGACCGATTCATACATCACTCAGGTGCTCCGGGAAGATGTGTGACTTATCCGGGGAGAGGACAGGGATGCCGCATAGCAGGGGGACCACGAACGGGGCAGGGAAGACGAAGGGAAAGGAACTGTGTCTTGACTCCTTACTCTAAAAATATGGGAGAAGAGGGCCACGATGACAGGGGGCGGGGATGGATGTGGGGAAAACGGGGACAGATCAGGATAGACTGAAAAGGAGGCAGCATCTGAGACAGGCGAGTTCAGATAGTAAGGACCCTCAGGAGTGAATAGAGAGGAACAGATGTGGACGTGTTAGGACAGGGAGCGCGGTGGTGCCTGGGACAGGCCGGAGAAACTGTGAACACATATGGGGCAGGAGGGAACTAGATGGGGATGCCAGGCCTCAGATGTGGGTTGCCAAGGGTGGGACTGGCTCGGATGAGGCCAGAGCAGGCATGCTTGGGACAGGATGGCCCCCGGCAGACAGGGAGATGCTCAGGGGAGGACCAGATGAGACCGACAGGCACCTGGGACAGGCCAGGACACTTGTGGGAAAGTTTGAAAGAAACATACATGGCTCCTGACAATGCCCAGGGAAGAACAAGCGGAAACGAATGAAATGCCTGGGACAGGGGACCAGACGGAGAAGTCTGGAACAGCGGGCGGGGGGGGGATGTCCCCGGCGGGCTAGCAGCTGGGGGATGCCTGGCTCGGGTCCGGGTAATGCTGAGGGTGCCCAGACCAGGAAGTGGGAGTGTTTGGATGACACCGGAGCTGAGGGGTGCTGACCTTCCAGGGCACTGGTGAGGATGCTGACGGCGCTGAGGGCCCGCTGCCGCTCTCCTGGCGCCTCGAAGCCATCCACACACGGAGTTGAGGGGGTCAGCATCTGGGGCCTGCCTGGCTCCTCGGACGGGGTGGTCTGCGTATAACCGGGAGATATGGGTCAGCCTGGGGACCGGTGTCCACTGGACCTGGGGCAGCTGCTGGCCCAGACTCAGGTTGGGGAGGTCACAGGGAGACAGGCTGGGGGACTTGACGGAATAGCAGATGCTGGGCTTCTCTGCTCCCACCTCCCTCCCCGTTAACAACCCCTCCCCCCACCCTCTCAACGATGATCATCTCATTCGCTCTCTATTCTTCACCATCTCCAGGCCGTGGTGGTTCTTGAGTGTGGACTGGAACCACATCACCCAGTTCTATGAACCAGATGCTGTCGTACATGCTAGCCCATGCAAAGATGATCCGGGAGTCATAATTGACCACAAGCTCCCTAGAGTCCAGAACGTAACGAAGCTGAGAAAAACATCTGCCACGGGCCCCGGAGACAGTCACGGAAGCATAAAGCACGATGCTCCCGCGTGGCTGGTGGGGACTTCTGTGGAGTCCATTTGGCTCTGTCTGCCGAGAAAATTGTCCACCGGCCCTGCACTTACTCATCTGGTAACCCAGCTTCATAAATAATTATACACACGCGCCAAAAATATACAGGCAGCGATGCCCACTGCAGCATTGTTCCTGGTACCATAGCAACAAAGCAACGAATCAATAGGGAGAATCTGAAAATCACCGGTGGGGACCATCTGACTCTGGACACTGATACGGACAACGCCAAGAACGAGGCCCTTCCATGCGTGTTCCCCGGGGAGCACCTCTAGGACAAAGCCTTTGGTGGAAAACCAAGGACGAGACCGGGCAGATACACACTGAGCTGGTAGAGGGGGCCTCTCTGGGGACTGGGACTGGGGGAGGGGGCGGAGGACAGGGAGAAGTTGCCTTTTGCTCCCTGTGCTTCTGCACGCTTGGGCCTGTTTGCAACGCGCTCCCATCATGGCTGCAGGTCAGCGGTCGGCAAACCGCAGCTCACGAGCCACATGCGGCTCTTTGGCCCTTGGAGTGTATTGGCTCTTCCACAAAATACCACGGCCTGGGGGAGTCTATCTTGAAGAAGTGGCGTTAGAAGAGGTTTAAGTTTAAAAGATGTGGCTCTCCAAAGAAATGTCAATGGTTTGTACAGTTGATGTTTGGCACCTCCCTCCCCTCCCCGGATCCCCCAGAACCACGGGCGGCCCACGAAGGCTTCCCGAAAATGCAGCCCTGCATCGCCGAGTCTGTGAGCCGGTGCTGGGGGTTGCGGAAGGCGCCTGGCTGTTCAGCGTGCAAGAGCAAGGTTCTATCACCTCTATGGGTCACAGGGAGGATGAGCCTCGGCTACCCAGGGTGGCAGAGCCAGGGCCTGGGGTGGGAGCTAAATCCATCTGGGTTCAAGTTCAGGTCAACCTCTGCCAACTGGGGGGACGGCCCTGAAAGGTTGCCCAGGGAGGTAGTGAGCTCCCAGTGATTGGAAGTATTCGAGCAGAGGCACCTGCCAGGGCCGAGGTGGCTGGTGTAATAACAGAACCTAGGTACGCCTGGCCAGCTGAGCTCACCCGTGTGTCTTAAATTCTCCCAACCTCTCTCCTCCTCCTCTGCTGTTGGTAAGAGTTCGAGCTATCGTTTAGCTAGTAGGTACCCTTTCCCCATCCCAGGGTGGATCAGCAAACTTCCCTGTCCTCTTGGTGACACACACGCTTTGGCCAACGCAACGTCAGTGGACACGATGCGAGCAGCAGCCTTAAACAGGCGGTGCCATTGGCCTTGCCCCTGTGCTGCAGTCCTCCAAGGAAAGAGCTTTCCTCCGTCGCTGCCACTCCTTCAGCCTGGGCCTCAGCACAGACAGGAGCAGCCCTGAGTCTGACCCAGGGTGGAGCCAAGCCAACGTGAAGTCCCAAGCAGAGCAGCCCAGACAAGCCCAACCTAGTCCGGCCACACCGCTCTCAACCTGCAGAGGACCGAGCGTGAGAATAAAAACCGGTTGCCATCCATGGACTTTAGGGGTAGTTTGTTACGCACCATTACTGTGGCAACAGCTGACTGATACACCATTCTGGTGCGAGTTATCATCACCTCTTTCCTAAAGCCACCCCCATAGCCTCCTCACTGGCCTCTTCTTCTCTTCCCTATATCCACTGCACAGCAGAAAGGGAGTCCCTTAAAAACCAGGTCACGATATTCCTCCGATCAACAGCTCCCCTCCGCCCACTTATTCGGGATAAAGTCAAACTTTCCTCTGACCTACGAGGCTCTGCATAGTCCACATCCCAACTCCTCAAACTCATTCCAGATCCCTTCTCCCAGGTTCTTTCATGTCATGCCTATTTCTCTTCAGAGCCTTTCGAACTGCTGTTCCTTCTGCCTAAACCACTCCTCTCCCATGTCATGGTGGCTGGCTCCCTAAACCATTTGCCTGTCCATTTCAATGTCACCTCTGCTAGAAGGCCTTCCCCAGTTATTCTAACTAATAGCTCCCCACCCCACCCCTCCCCCTGGCAACTTTCTATCACAAGCCCCTTATTGCCACCTGGAAATGCTGGCCAGGGAACTGCCCGTCTTCCTGACTACAAGGCAACCTCCACCGGGGCAGGGCTCTTGTTCGTTCTGCTCACTGCTGTACCCCCGGCGTCTCACACACTGCATGGCGCTCAAGGCAGCCAGCTAGCCCTGGGTCACTACTGGTGGATGGGTGAGGGGTGGTCTGCGTATAACCGGAAGATATGGGTCAGCCTGGGGACCGGTGTCCGCTGGACCCAGTTGGCAGAGGTTGACCTGAACTTGAGCCCAGATGGATTTAGCTCCCACCCCAGGCCCTGGCTCTGCCACCCTGGGTAGCCGAGGCTCATCCTCCCTGTGACCCATAGAGGTGATAGAACCTTGCTCTTGCACGCTGAACAGCCAGGCGCCTTCCGCAACCCCCAGCACCGGCTCACAGACTCGGCGATGCAGGGCTGCATTGACGGGAAGCCTTCGTGGGCTGCCCGTGGTTCTGGGGGATCCGGGGAGGGGAGGGCGGTGCTGAGTAAGCCTAGAGAAGGCTGCTGCATCCGCCTTCCTCAGGACACACCTCCATCTGCAGGCCTGGTTCCTTCACCTGCAGCAGTGGTCGGCAAACTCATTCGTCCACAGAGCCAAACATCAACTGTACAAACCATTGACATTTCTTTGGAGAGCCACATCTTTTAAACTTAAACCTCTCCTAACTGCAGAGGTTCTAACCGCTTCTAACTCTGACTCGAGCCTCCCTAGGGAATGGGGAGGCTGGAGTCAGAGCTGTGGCTCTGCCCCTCACTTGCTGGATGGTGGGGGGACGGGGAGGAAGGTGACATCTAAGAACTGGCTGCTCCCTGTGCCTCACCCGGCCCCAGCGGACCCTCTGAGATGGGCACTCCCAGGCAGACAGGGAACAACCTGGATATAGGAAACACGAGCTGTCTGTTGGGGTGGCCCTTCCTCCCCCAGCCCTCCCACGCTGATTCGGCACCCACTGTGTGCCTGCACTGCGCTTTGTTTCCAGATGAGAAACGGGTAAGCGCGTCTCACTGGGGGCCAGCAGAAGCCAGGAAGGCACTCCCGGGGCCTGCAGCCTGCTAATCTCTTTAACTTTTCAGAGTCTCCATCTCGGCCCGCTAATTCCCTTAACTTTGCAAATGACCCCCTTGGCCAAGCTAATAATCCCTTTAAGGTTACAAATGGGCCCTGCCGAAGTGAGAATGGTGAGGTCAGAATTCCCGGTAATGAAGTGTTTGAACTCGGATTCCTCCCCAACATGTGCCCTACGAGCTTGATTCTCTCCCTAACGAGATTAGGAGATTCTATTAGTTTCCAGGCTGCTGACCTGATTCCAGGGGGGCTGACGCTCCAGGGCTGGGCACTGGGATGTGGTGCTCCTGGGAGGTCAGATACCCCACCCCGCAGGGGATGGCCAGGGGCCTCCCTGGACTCACCGGAAGCTGCGGTCTGCTCCCCTCCACTCCCAGGACCCTCTCCTTGACTTCCCCAGAGGAGTGAGGGCCCCGGATGCTCTGCATTGTGCCCCAGGAGGCTTGATTCCTTCCTGCTCAGTAATTACAGTACAATCACAGATAATAATAATAATAATAATAATAATAATAATAATAATTGTAATAATACTGGAACATGAGGCAAGTACCGGCTGAGCAGGGGCCAGGTTTTAACTCAGTCCTCGCCACAACCTGCCGACGTGGATACTCCCTTTATTGTCCCCTTACAGACGAGGGAAGGGAGGTGCGGAGAGCCGTGCGAATCTGCGCAGAGTCGTGCAGCTAGAGCAAGCATCTGAGCAAAACAGGCCATTTGGCCGCGAGCTGTTCCCCTTCAGCCTCACCTCCCTCTTCCGGACCATTTCCCTGTCCTGTTCCAGCTTCCTCAGACAGCCTGCCCTCTCCCACCTCCCTGCGGGCACTGGGGTCTGTGCCACGTGTTTGCCCTTTGCCTGGGTGGGCTGTTCTGGGCACTGCGTTGGGGGTCAGGGGTCAGCAAGGACCAATCAAACAGCCATCAGTCTGTCAGGCAGCCATCATTCTGTCATGGGATTGGCTGACGGAGAGATGAAAACTCTGACTGGCCTCTCATGACCTAGCCCGCCCCTCCTCGTTACCTTTTTGACAATATCTCCAACTCCTCTCCCCTTTGCTCCCTGGGTTCCAGCCACTCTGACCTCATGCACGGCCTCCACTCACGAGGCTAGCGTCTGCCTCAGGGCCTTTGCACGGCTGCCTTCTAGGCCTGGAACTCGCTACCCCGATGAGGTAATGACCGTACGCTGTTAGGATGCTATCACTGCCTAATTGCTTTACCCACATTAGCCCTTTCATTCTTGCAACAATCCTGAGATGGGCATTTTTAATCTATTTTAGACGAGAGACATACAGCAACTCTCCCATGGCCACGCAGCTACGCCGGGTTATACACCAGCTCATCTCCAGACCGGGAGGTGCCACCCACGCCTCTAGGGCCACCCCCCCCCTTGGGAGTTTCAGAGAGCGGCCTGGCTCCCACCTTTGCTTCCGTGTGTCCAAATGCCTCCTAGTGAGTGGGGGTTCCTTCTCCCTCTTCTCTGCTTCCATCCTCCACACAACTTACTGGGCTAATACCGGCTTTAATGTACCGGAACCTTCCAGACTTGGTGAGTAACAGTTGGCCAAAACCTGGGAAGTGTTCCCTTGCCATTCCGTCCCTTCTCCCGGGAGCCTCTGGATGGCCAAGGACCCAGCAGGTCTACAGGGCTGACCCCTGGCACAGACACTGGCTCTGTGCCACCACGGCATCTCAGTGCCCGGGCCTTACCAATGATTAAATACTTAACTGCCACCCCGGCTTATCAGCACAACGCACGCCCAGAACCCAGCGCCCGCGAGGCGCTCGGTGAATCCTGGGTGAGCCTATTTGGACCCGACGCTGGTGAGGACCTGGAGACCCGCTCTGCCCCGGCTGTGTCGCGGGCTGGCTCACCGTGTCTGGGGGGCGCTCCAGCATCGTGGGGCGGAGGAGGTAGCTCCCGGGGGAGGCGGCCTCAGGGTCGCCTGCCCCCAGCAGGGAGACCACCCCATTGCAGTCTATGGTGCTGTTCCTTTTGCCATTGAGGGCGCGGCCGGGCGCGGAGGTCCCGGGGCCGGGCTGTGCCTGGGCGCTGGGCCGGCGCAGGGACCAGGGCACCAGCAGGGACGTGCGGTGGCTCTCGCTGTCGCCCGCCGTGCTGTTCTCGTCGTCGGCGAAGTCCGTCTCCGACCCCATATCTCGCCGGCGGAAGGTGAAAATGCTCCCTCGGCGGGAGCGTGACTTCACGGAGGTCCTGTGGAGGCCCTGGGCGAGGCCGAGGTGGTTCTGAGGGACCAGGCAGAGGGCACGTCACCACCACGGCCCTTCCCGGGCCCCCAGCCCATCTCCTGTGGCATCGGTCCAGCTCAGCTTCTCGGAGTACCGAGGGCTTTAGCTGGCCACACGGCCTGGGTGAGCTGAGCCCAAGGGAGGGGGGTTCAGGGAGGGGGCAGGGCTGGAGCAATCTAGTACCTTCCGGGACCTTTGCTCACCTGGAGCCTGTGAGACTGACGCTCACCTGGGCCTGAAGGGGGCGCTGAGGCTGGGCAGGGGGAGAGGAGGCAGGAAGGCACCTGCCTGCAGACCAGCCTGGCCCAAGCAGCCACGCCCCTCACACACATGGGCATGTCCTTGGTGTCCTACCGATGGACACTGTGGGTGTCTCCCAGTCCCAGCCCCATGCTGGGGACCTGGCTGAAAGCTGGGGTATCCTAACACCCAGACCTACCCCGTCCCGCTGCCCAGGGCTCCTCGACTCCACACATGGCCGTGGGAAACAGGAAGGGAGGGGAGGGGCTGCAGGATACCCTCCTGGGGCCGGGGGGGGGGGGGGGGCAGGGGGCAGCCGTCTGTGACTGCACCAGGGGCCTAACATGATGCCAGATCTACCCTCATAGGGGCAGGGCCACGGTGGGGGGTAGGGGGAGGGGGAAGGGGGGTTACCATGGCTCTGGGGCCGTCCTCCGAGTCCGACTTGGGGAGCCTGTCATCCCCACACTCCTCGGTCCCCGAAGACGTCCGTTTTCTCCTCTTGCTCCTTTTCTCATGGGTGGAGCCTGGGGCCAGAGGGGACATCTCCACGGAGCTGCGGGACACGCTGTCCATGCCCCTGAGGGTGAGGGCCTGGGAAAGGGCAGGGGAAGGGACGTCTCGGTCACAGGGGCTTCATGCAGCCGCGGGCCGAGACCCACCCGGTTTCCCCACCAGTAAGTGGACTTGCACACTCACTCCCGAGTCAGGGCAGCATGCAGAGATGAGCTGACAGCCCCAGAATGCTCTGTGAAAGGACCCAGTCCAGGGAGGAGGAGAGTCGTGGCTGACGTGGCAGCTTTTGGAAGGGGCGAGTGTGGGGGACAGAGGGATGGGGTGTCAATGAGCGGAAGTGAAAGAACTAGAGGTCAGAGGGTCTTCTAGGGTTGGCTAGCCAAAATGAGTGCTGGGGGGGTGGGGTGGCGTGGGGCAGTGAGACGTTGAAAGCCTGGCTTCCAACAGGCTTGCTCTGTGTGTGTTTTTTTTTTGTTTTGTTTTGTTTTAAGAAAGAGTGGAAGGGATGGGGAGAGAGAAACATCAATCAATGGGCGAGAGACACATCGATTGGTTGCCTCCCGCATGTGCCCCCACCAGGCTGGAGATCAAGACTGCACCTGAGGTGCATGCCCTTGACTGAAATCGAACCTGGGACCTTCAGTCCGCAGGCCGCCGCTCTATCCACTGAGCCAAACCTTCTGTGCCTCTGTGGTTACTTCCTAGGCTTGCTCAGGCCTCCACCCTTGGACTCTTCTCACTGCCCCACCAGAAGGCATCCAGTGGCCAGGATAACTATGTCCATGGACATATGGATCTCTTTTATCCGGCATGCACTGTGCTCACGGGAACCACCTCTACCCAGCAGGCACCACACCTCCAGGCGCCAGCACACCCGGCAGGCACCGTGCTGACAGGTGCCCACAGTCCGGTGAGGGCTTGGTCTGGAGGACCCGTTGGCTGCACCGCTCACCCACCTCCTGCTCTTTCTTGAGCATCTCCATGGCCTCCTGGAATCGCTTTTCCTTCTCCTCCGTCTCAGCGATGGTGGCTTGGTTTTGCTCCTCGTAGGCCATGGCGACCACCGCCAGGATCAGGTTCACCAGGTAGAAGGAGCCCAGGAAGATGACGAGCATGAAGAAGATCATGTAGATCTTCCCTGCGGACCTCAGGGTCTGGGGGGGAGGGGGGCAGAGGTCATCCTCACTGGGCCCCCCTCTGGGTCATGGCCATGGTCATGGCATTTCAGAGTGGCCTAGTCTGGGTATGCCAGGAGTTCAAATGGCCACACCTGGGGAGGGGCTAGGGAGCGTCCCACCTACAGAGGGAAGTGTCCTACAGAGAAGGACCTACACACGGGGCGTGGTGTCCCAGCCACAGACGGGGCAGGGAAAATGTGCCCACAGAGGGGACTGTTCCATCGCACAGGGTGGAGGAGAGTCCCACTCACAGGGCAGAGTGTCCCGCATAAAGGGGTGGGTCCTTGGTCATCAGCAGAAAGGGAGTGTCTTTGTTTGATGAGCCCCCAAATGCAAAGGTCCCCTGTCCCCCTGGCCTTCCTCAGTCACTGGGGCCACTGCTGGCAGGGGGTCCTGAGCCTGTTCCGGGTGTCCCTCTGGGGGCCCGGGCTCGCACGCACCTGCTGGTAGAGTCGCTCCCAGCAGTCCTGCGTCATCAGGCGGAAGAGCGCCAGGAAGGCCCAGGCGAAGGAGTCGAAGTTGGTGTAGCCGTGGTCAGGGTTCTCGCCTGCCTTCAGGCACCGGTAGCCCTCGGGACACGTCCTGCAGCCAGACACGCAGACTCCGTCTCATGCGGTGAGGGGTCCTCTGCCCCCCTAGACCCTTGCTGGGCCTGGCTCGTCTTCCTGGGCAGCCCAGCGTAGGCCCCACTGCCCGGTGCTGCCCCCATGGCTTTCCAAGATGTGCCTCCTCCTGCCTGGGACCCTGTCTTCCCCTTTTCTCTACCCATCTGCATCCTTCGAGGCTCAAATCCAGCCCCTTCTGCCCACAAGACACACCATCCCTGCTGCTGTCGGAGCCGCCCATCCCCTCGCAGAGGAAGTGCTAAGGGCCTGGCTCATGTCTCTTCCTCTGCCTGCCCCCCATGGGAGTGAGCACAGTGCCAACACACAGGCCAGCAGCGAGGCCTGGCTGAGCTGAACAGGATGGAGCCCAAGGTTGAGGGATGTTTCTGGGCTGGCCCCGGCCCCGTCTACAGAACATGCCCATTTGAATGGCTGTGCAACGGGTATCATGAGGCAGACCCACAGTTCACTGAGCTGGAGGGGCAGCCTCTCTGCCAGAGACGGAGCACGGGGCCGGATTGACGTGTGCTTGCCGTGCATGGGAGAGAGGGGGGGAAGGACGGGGCGGGGCTCAGCAAGTGGGAGGGTCAGCCAAGGGCCTCTGTGCCTTGCTGATGTCCTCAGGCCCCGAGACAATCTCTTAGTGACTCAAAGGGCCCTGGAACTGCATACTCAGAGACGGGGGACCACAGCCCCACAGACACCTTCCCCACCAGGTGAGCCCGAGGGTCCCCTCCCCTAACATCCTAGAGCCCATCACCCACCCAGGCCCCGGGGCCCACAGGACACGGGGCCTGTGGTCCCACACTCAGGCCCAGGCCATGCAGGGAGTCTAGACTGTGGGGGAGCCCAGACTCACTCTGGACCCGGTGCACAGACCAGCAGGTGGGGAGTGGGAAGGAGCAGCTCTGGGGGGCGGGGTGGGCTTCTGGGGGGAACAGAGCCAGGGTGGAGCCAGCAGGGGGCCCCTGCAGGGCTTCCAGGCTACACTCAGGCCCACCCCATCCATCTTCAGGGCTCTGTTCGCCCTCCCTGCAGACCATACCCCCATCCCTTTCCTGACCCCCTCGCAGCCATCTCCGCCATAGGGGGAGCGGGTGGGGAAGCTGCCAGGGAGCTGGCCAGGAGGGAGGCGGGGGAAGGCCTCGCTGACCCTGGGGTCATGGGAAAAACCTGAAAGCACAGGCAGCTGAGGAAGCACCAGGAGAGGCCCCCGGCTGGGCGAGCTGGCCCCACAGGGCGGGCGCCACATACCCGGCGTCAGAGCTGTTCCCGCACAGCAGCACGTCGCTGGTGCCGTTCTTGAGCATATAATTCTCTGGAAGAGACAGATCCAGCGGTGAGGGTCCAGGCGGCCCAGCCTCCTGGGCTCCGACCTTGCACCCAGGACTTTGCAGAGGTAGACACAGGTGGTGGTCTCCCCAGCTCCCCTCTGCCCGGCAAGGCCTCAGGCGACTCTGGCTACTTCCCTGGAGCCTTCCTCCTCCTCCTCCTCCTCCTCCTCCTCCTCCTCCTCCTCTGATGTCCGGCTCCCAGAGTCCCTAGCACTCTGGGGAGATGCAGGAAGTCCCCACAGGGAGCATCTGCACTTTGCCTCATGCCACTCAAGGGGCCACCAGGCCAAGAGAGGCCCTGCCCTAGGAGGCAGGGGCCTGGGCAGAGCTCCAGCTTGGCTGCCGAGTCACGGCATGGCCTCAGCAGGCTGCTGCCCAGCTCGGTCTGGACCTGCTTCCTTGTGCATAAAGCGATGGGGCAGTGATGCCTGCCACAGTCACCGTGGCCAGAGTGTGGAATCTTCAGACAGGGCTGGGGCGGGACCAGGGGAGACCCAGGCCCTCTCCTCTCTGTGGCCATCCGTCCGTCCTCACCACTCCCTCCTCCCGGCCTTGGTCTTAGGCAGCAGTTCTCCATGTGTGGTCCCGGGACCAGCAGCATCAACTGAGAACTGGATGCCCCTCCCCCCAACCTACTGAAGCTGTGGGTGGGCCCCACAGTCTGTTTTCTGAAGTCCTTCGGGTGACTGGTGCCCACGAAATCTTGGAACCAGTGCTGTGTGGCCACAGCTGAGCCACATGCAAATTCCCCTGCTGAGGTTCTGTCCATGTGTCTTTCCCCAAAGTGACCGCTGGTCTATGAGAGAGGCTCTCACTGCACAATGGCCCTCAGGGTCCTTGTGGAAGATGGCCTAGGACAGTGTCTCCCTTGGTCCAGACCCATGGCACGAGCCAAGAGATGTGCTGGCCACCAGCCCGGAGAATGGCAGTGCCACCCATGGGGCAATGAACCCACAGGACTGCAATCACTCAGCTTCCCCATCCCCTTCATGGGGCTCTGGGGCACACGTGTGTGGAATTAGCATCCTGGCAAGGAATCCGGAGGTCAGCTGAAAAATCTCGTGCCATGCAGGTGGGGCCTCCACTCTGAAGCCTCACAAGCTACCCTGGCTCCGTGTCCCACCCTTTCCCAGCCACCACTCCCCTCTCTGCAGGCAGGACCGGCTCCTCACGGCTCCCGGCGCTCTAGGGTCAGTCCCTCCATACATGTCGCAGCTGCTGCTCCCGTCTGGCTCTCCTTCGAGCCCGAACCCACCCCTTCTTTCCCAACCTTCAAGCATCATCTCCCACCTAGCCTGAGAACTCGGAGGGCAGCCCTACAGCTGCTCCCCTTCTTCCTCTCTCTGAGCCAGACAGGAGCAGGGTGCGTGCCTCTTGGGGGTCAGGCAGGGTTAGGACGGCCCTGCAGGGGCGGCCTGCCCAGTGGGCAGTGGCCCAGCCCTGGAGGCCTCACAAAGCCTGGCCCGGCCCTGGGGCCAGTCCATACCTGGGTCATTGAGGTAGAGGTCCAGCGAGTCCCAGACCTGGCCGCCGGCCTCCACGGAGCCGTTGGTGCCGTTGAGCTCCGTGAAGTTGCGCACGCACTTGTGCCTCAGGTTGCCCATGAAGAGCTGCAGGCCGATGAGGGCGAAGACGCTGAGGCAGAAGACGGTGAGGACCATCACGTCGGCCAGCTTCTTCATGGACTGGATCAGCGCCCCCACGATGGTCTTCAGGCCTTGGGGGAGGCGACAGCAAGCACGGGGTCACCCACGGGCACGGGGCCTCCCGCTCCTCTGGGCAGGGACAGGCCCGAGGGGGTGCTGGGCCACATGGGCCATCAGGAGGTGGGGGCAGAGGGAAGGAGGCCTCTCCTTCGCTGAGATGCTGTCCTGATTCCCCTGGGGCAGGAGCCCTCTGTGGGTGTGTTTTCAGAGCGCCCAGTCCCCCCCCCCCCCCCCTCTTGCTCTCCGCTAGCCTGGTACATGAATCGGGCGTGGAAAATGCCTTTTGCCTGAGGAAGCAAAGACTCAAAGCTGCCCCCCTCTGGCTCTGTCCCCAAGGTAAGCTGGGCCTGCCCCTTTAAACATAGCCTACAGCCGAAACCGGTTTGGCTCAGTGGATAGAGAGTCAGTTGAGGACTGCAAGGTCCCGGGTTAGATTCCGGTCAAGGGCATGTACCTTGGTTGCGGGCACATCCCCAGTAGGGGGTGTGCACGAGGCAGCTAATCGATGATTCTCTCTCATCGATGTTTCTAACTCTCTATCCCTCTCTCTTCCTCTCTGTAAAATATCAATAAAATATATTTTAAAAAACAACAACACTACAATTAAACATAGCCTACAGACAGGCGATGGAGGTGAGGCCCGTTGAGGACAATGGAGGGGCTCAGCCTTGGTCCTGGGAGGGGAGAGACACAGCCATTCTCAGTGGAGGATCTCGTTCACGTGCTGGGGCAGGGCAGGGGGAGAGCTGGCAAGGCCGTGCTGGGCCATGTCCTAAGGGGCCTGTTCTGGCTCGCTGTCCCCCTTTGGGAAAGGTTCAGGGCTGGGGTGGGGGTGGGGATGGAGGTTGTTCTGTATTCCATTTTCCTCCTCTGCCCTGCGCCTCTGGGACCCAACCCTGCACCTCCCACTCCCCAAAGCAGAGAGGCCGGGACCCGTTAGTTGCACAGCCCAGCTCCACACAGAACCAGCGCCACATGGTGAGGTGACAGAAAAGCGTGTGTACACACGGCTGGTCTGACACTTGAACTACTGCCCTACGAGAAGTTCAAGTTCAAGCACAGCATGGGGGGGTGAGGGAGCTTCTTTGTCAGCAGCAGGGCCCTGCCCCACGACCCCGTCCACCTCCCCCACCACGCCCCAACCCATTCCACCACACCCTACCCCACGCCCACAAGCGGCCAGATCTCAGATTAAGCTCCATCCATCCATTGTCCAGCCGGTTAATGTGTTAGGAGCACCCGTGGCAGCTGTGCCCGAGGCTGCTGTGCCCATGACCCGGAGGCAGGGAGGCAGCGATGGGCAGGCACAGAAGAGGAATGCTCAGCCACGGTGCCACCGACGCTGCCGCCTGCCCAGGGCTCAGAGGCACTCAGCGCTCTCTGTGGAAATCGTCCTGGCAGATGCTGGCAACCGCCTGGGCAGTGGGGGGACCTCGCAGGGGTCTGGGCGTGCGGTGGCGGTGGCGGTGGCGGTATTCACGAGCCCCTTGGAGTCCAGAACCCCTCTTCTCTAGCGCAGGTTCTAGGAGCCCTCAGTGGGTACTCTCTGGTTCTGCCCACTGGGCCCAGAGACCCCGCCCATAGCCTGGGGGCCTGCGGGGGGCTCGGTGAGGGGTGGTGGGCAGCAGCTTGCACACCCAAATTGGACGCTGTCTCAACTGCTAGGCCGCAGCCTCTCTGGCATAAAGCAGTGGTCGGCAAACCGCGGCTCACGAGCCACCTGCGGCTCTTTGGTCCCTTGAGTGTGGCTCTTCCACAAAATGCCACACGTGGGCGCGCATGTACAGTGCGATGGAAACTTCATGGCCCACGCGCAGAAGTCGGCTTTCGGCCTGGGCGCGGCTGTTTTGAAGAAGTGGTTCTAACGCCGAGCCACACCCAAGGGGCCAAAGAGCCGCAGGTGGCTCGCGAGCCGCGGTTTGCCGACCACTATCCCTAAAGCATCCAGTTCAAGGCCCAGCCAGGCACCTCGTGGTCTTCGGTCATCGGCGGGTGAGCAGACTAACCGCTTTACTGTTTCTCATATCGATGACAGGGTTTACTTTTGGCAAGAATAATTCCAACACAATAACAAGACTCTTCCTGAAAAGACCCAGGAAGGTGAGTCCGGGGGGGGGGGGGGGGCACATGAAAAATTCTCTGGCCAGCGACGTTCTAACGGGCTGGGCGGGCGAGGAGCCCTCGGAAACCGGCCATTCCTATTCCATCCCCATGTTATGGGGAAGGAGACCAAGGTCTGGAGCGGGCCAAAGCTATATGTAAGACTCAGCTCGGGGGACACCTCCTCCAGGGAGCCTTCCAGGATATGGCCACAGCATTTTCCTAGTGACCACTTTCAGGCTCTGCTCTCTGCTGCTTCACTGGGGTGCCGGCACCTTGAAGGGACCCCCGGGGGCTGGGTTCAGGTTGACAGGCTGCTGCTTCCCCTCGGGACTGAGAAGTAGTTTCCTTTGTCAGCCTTTCTTAGAAAATAGACTGGAACATGGCTGTCCTTAACTGCTAGGGTCGGGGTGCTGTGAGGTGGTCCCCGGGACCCCAAGGCTTCCGAGCATGTACAATATGTGCTTGTCAAGGCAAAGGACTTCTGTCTCAATGGGGCAGCTCCATGGCAGTGGCTGGGAGCAGCGGCCCCCCTTGCTACTGGCTCTTCGCAGGAATCTGGGCCACCTGGGAGCCTGGACAAGTGGCCCCTGTGCATATCCCATGGTGGGCTCAGAGGCCAGGAGGAACCTTCTGAGGCTGGGTGTGAACACTGCAGAAGGAGGGGGCTCCTCTTAAGATAGCGGACCCCACCAGGGGGAGTCCGAACTCCTCCAGGGAGCTCAGAGCAGGGCGCCCAGGGGCCAGGACCCACCAGCATCTCACACCAGGAGCAGGTGCCACCACGTGGCTCTCGGCATCCTCTCCTCAGCCCTGATGCTCCAGATGGGCCGCATGCCAGCCTCTAGCTCTGCTCCGAGGGCAGCTGCATTCCATCTGGAATGAGCCCTGGAAAGCCTCTGGGTAGGGCCCTCGGAGCTCTGACATCTACCTGTGTTTCCCCGAAAATAAGACATCCTCCGAAAATAAGACCTACTTACAGGTTTCCTGCTGAGTGAAATATAAGGCATCCCCCGAAAATAAGGCCCCCCCCCCCACGCTAAACATGAGAGATTTGGTCCACTGATTCTGAAAGAAATGGAGTCACAATAAATTCACCAGAAAATTCAGGAATTGGATTGTTATGATGATGTTCCAGAAGATGATGACATGATTGTCACTGAATAAGTGAGTCAATTCTTGATACTGTAGGATTCACAGTTTGTCTGGTTTGTGTTGACAACTACCGTACTACTGTAACGTATACAGGTAATAAAATTCCTTTATTTTCATTTAACAATCAATGTGTACCGTATTCTTCTTCATGGAAAAATAAGACATCCCCTGAAAATAAGACCTGGCGCATCTTTGGGAGCAAAAATTAATATAAGACACTGTCTTATTTTCGGGGAAACAGGGTACGCTTTTCGGGAGCTTCCCCGAATGGATGGGACTGACGGACTTTCTAGAGAAGCCGCCTGGCCCGGGAGACTTCCTGCTGCGATTGCCAGCATCTGCCAAGGAGGATTTCTCCCCGCGGCTACCATGCGCGGTCTGCTAAACCTCTACCGCACCATGCAGCGAGGGCTGTTAGACGCCAAGGCCGATGCCGCCTGTCCGCAGAGTACGATCTGTCACAACCTGGGGCTGGGGCTGGGGCTGGGGCTTGGCTCTGCACAGACCCCGGTAGGGGGCGCTGGGCACCCTGCCGGGAAAGACTGGGGGCAGGGCCGGAGTTTCCCTTTCTTTGTTCCGGGTGTGGATGTGGTGTGTCCTCCCCAGAGGACGACGATGATGCTTCAGGAAGAAGCAATTCACATACAAAGCTTCCAGCTATGCACACAGCTGTCCGTTTGGGAAAGGAATTCCCCTCTGGTGGAGAATCCGGGTTCAACCCAGGCCCTGCCATAGGGTCGCCATGTCCCCCGGTGTCTGTGCGAGTGGGTTTGGCTGGGGTTGGGTGAAGCCGTGCCCACGGCCGTCCGCTCCCACGCCCGAGCTCTGGGGAAAGGTATTCTGCTGACAGGCACATGTGAGGGGCCTTTCCGAGGGTCCCCCCTGGACTCTCGGGCGGCTGGAAAGCCCCTCCAGCCTTGGCGTTTAACCTGGTTTTCACCTGAAATGACTGATATAGTTTTCAGGGCCCGGAGGACTCGGAAGGTGCGTAAAGCTGAGACATTGCCCAGGTCCACAAATTCAGTGGTGTATCTGCAACAAGGGAAACGCACACACGAGACAGTGACGACACGCCAGGAGGAGACACACGGTGGGGCGGGGGAGGGGGGGAGACAGAGAGAGAGAGTCACTTGGTCGCTGAGATCCACGAGGCACGCCTGGCGTCTTACCTGGGATAACCGAAATAGTTTTTAGAGCTCTCAGGACTCTGAAAGTTCGAAGAGCAGACAAATTGCCTACTTTTATATTTTCTGATACATACCTGCAGAATCAAACCACAGTTATTGGGATTGACAGAGCAGCACCTCAGCCTGCCCCCCCCCCCACCCCCTACCAGCCCACCCCCACAGGGAGGAGTGTGGATGGGCAGGGGCCTCCCCTAAATTCTCTTCCTGATCTGAACCCTCCTGCCCCGGGGACCTTCGCGAGGGCGCCTGAGGGATTCCACACAGCAAGCCCCCGGCGGCTTTCGTGGGTGATGGTCCGGTGCCAGGAGGCAACCACTCGGCCACATCCTCCGTGACACTGAAAGGTCCCGGGTTCGATTCCGGTCCAGGGCATGTACCTTGGTTGCAGGCACATCCCCAGTAGGGGGTGTGCAGGAGGCAGCTGATGGATGTTTCTCTCTCATCGATGTTTCTAACTCTCTATCCCTATCCCTTCCCCTCCTTTGTTCTGGGGACCGTGACGCAACACGTGGCAGGGTCTGAGGATGGAGAAACAGCGAGGTGGAGAGGGACAGTCTCCCAGGAGGCCCTGGCCAGGCGACAGAGGCGCAGGTGGGCTTCTGAGCCTGGGTTCGCTCTGCATCTTCTGGGGCCTGGATCATCTGCGCGTGCCTGCCTGGCTGCTCCAAACCAGGGGACCCTGAGGCCCCCGCTGAGACCACCCCGGAAGTGTGGCTGGGTGTCTGAGGGCTGCCCACTTTCTCCCCCCAACCATCAGGAGTCAACCAGAGAAGCAGAGTTCTCAAGATGATGCTTTGGAAGGTGAGAAGGGGGTTGTCTGATCATTCAGCTCTTCCACTGCTCACGGGCAGTGGCCAACACAAGAAGAGAAAAAAGCAGGACCAGGGATCTGAGCGGGACTCCCCCAACCCCCCTGAGTCCACCCCAGTCTCACCCAGACCCTCACTGTCCCCCAAGGATGCCCTGGGACTCCACAGTAGGAGAGACCTCCGAAGAGGAGCAGCCGTTGGGGTTTGCTTGAGTCCAGGGACGCTTAGCAGAGCCGAGTGGGCGCGGGCTCCTGCCTCCAGCTGGGACCTCCGTGGCCTCCATGGGCAGAGCAGGAAGGAGCGCTCTCTGGGGGCAGGGACCTGCCCAAACAGAGTGTGAGTGAGGACACGTGTGGCGGCGCCACATGACCCGAATGTCTGAGAGACGGAGGGACAGTGCGTGACCAGGGCCATCGGGACAACGGCAAGTGACTCGTGATATTTAACCAGCGGCTTCGCAGGCAGGGTGTCTGACATTTAGCCGAAGGTGTCTGATGTTTAACAAAGAACAGCGGGCTCGGGACGTCTGATGTTGAACCGAGTGTGTGTGACTTGGTGTCTGAGTGATGTCAGACCCAGGACGTCAGCCCAGCGGCGCTGGGAGGGTGCCCGGGGTGGGCTGGCAGTGCCTCGGGACTCACTCTGCCAGGCATTCGGGGAACCGGTCCCCTCCACTCCACTCGGGATGTCTACATCGGCCCTCGGGCTGGGGTGTCTACAGAGAAGGACTTGGCGGGCTGTGTCAGGGGACTCGGTGTCCTGGGGCCAGCAGGGTCCAGCACTGACATTGGCTGGCACCAGCGTCCTCCGTGGCCACTCGTGGGGCCCCGCAGACCATGTCTGCTCCCTTCTTGCTCACGGCATCCCTGCAGAGACAGGAAGTCCACGGAACTTTCCTTCTTGTCACCCCATAGGCGGTTTCCATTTCCATTCCATCTCCGCGCCCGCTTCAGCTGACCTCTTCCTCCAGGGCAGCAGCCGGGTGCAGCCCCGTCTCCCGGTGGGGAACGGACGACACCTCCTTTGTTCCGGCCCATATGCCCCTACTGGCTTGGTCCAAGCTCCCTCTCGACTTTCGATGGCTATTCCAATCTCTTTGACGGGCCAGGCCTTCAGGCCTCTGTCCCACGTCCCTCTCTCAGGCCTGGGCTCTGTCCGGACACGGTGCTGCCCCAGGACTGTCAAGTTAAGTGGGAAACAGTCTGGAACTCACTCCGTGGAAGCCACAGCCGGCTGGGGGCTCTGGGCCCTGTGTCCTGTGGCCGGCTGAACGGGGGTGGCCACTGGCTTCAAGACTCTTTCTTCCGGTTCCAGAGAGAGAGGGGAGGACTGTGTAGATCCAAGAGGGAACCAACGGCCCCTGCTTCTCCCCTCCTGTCCTTTACAGATCTGTCTGTCCTGTGATTGCCTGCCTGTCTTTGCCTGTCCCTGCGTCTTCATCCATCCCCTCTCCCTGCCCTGCCCTGTCCTGCTGTGCACCTGCCTTCCCCTCCTTCTCAAGTCCCCAGTGCAGACAGCGCTTGCCCTCCATCCATCCCCGGCCCCCTCAGCAGCTAGTTCTGAGCACAGAGAAGCCAAGACCCCAGGATCCGGACGTGTGTGCACCTCAGGCTTGCAAAGCCAGCCAAGTGGCTGAGAACAGCAGAGCAGCTGCTGGTGGTGTGCTTGTGATGCTGGACACGCCAGTGGGGGGAGCAATCTGAGAGTGGGGGTAAGGGGGGGTCTGGAAGGCGGGGCACAGGGCTGGGTGAGGGCACGGCGTGGCTGCGACCATGCGTGGGACACGGGGACTATCGCCTCTTTTACTCCGCCCAGAGCCTGGGGCCTGGCTGCTTCCCAGGTGGGGGCCTTCTCCTCCTAGTGGGGCCTGGGTGTGGGGCCAGGCAGGAGAGACCCATTTCTGGCAAAGGACCAGCTTCAGCCGTGGTGGGTGGGAGGCTGGGGGTGGGGCCCAGTCCTTCGGCAGGCTGGCAAAATGCTCCTCCAAGCCGTTCTCCTCTCCCTGCCCTGGCCACGCTGCTGGGCAGGGGCAGAGGGCTGGGGTGGGGTTGTGGGCTCTGGCACAGAAAGCGCGGAGGGAGTGGGTGAAAATCCCACCGGCCCCGGTGCGGAGGGAGCCGTTCTGGGGGCCGAGGAACCACGAGGAAGGGCAGACCCGGGCCTTCTCCCTGCCCCGCCCCGTCCTGCTGGGCACCTCCCATTCAATGCAGAGGGCCCCGCCTGGGCTGCCAGGCAGAGGGTACACTCGGCACATTAGCATGATTGCTACCTTCTCCTCTCTGCTTCCCCCCTCCCCCTCCAGGTTTGGTTTCCATAACAACCCCAGAAGGTGGGAGGCTGTGCTAACTAGCAGGTAATGCCCAGCTGGGAGGGGGCACAGGAAGAGGTCTGGCTGGTGGGCTGCAGGCTGAGTCCCTGGGAGGGCTTCCTGGCACCCCTTACCCCCCTCTCATCTCCTCAAAATCAGGTGGAGGTGGGGGAGGGGGATCGCCAGACTTGGGGTTCCTCTCACGGTTATGAGCTAGGAGACACTGCTGTTGATTCCTTCTATAATTTGGGGCGAGCCAGGCTCTCTCGGAGCCTCGGTTTCTCCATCTCTATGCCACGGAGATGGGATGGGGAGTTTCAACAAAGGCAACTTTGCTGCCACTTAAGACGCCTTTGATTATCCAGGAGCCTCGCATTATTGAATCATTTGGCTACAGCCAAGTGCCCCTGCACTACCACAGCGGTAATTAATTGTTTCCCTAAGACAGCATCACCGTCAATCAAAGCCGCCAGGCCAACCCAGCCCAGAGCACAGGGCTGACAGCCAGTGGGTCCACACGGCCCTCGGGGAAGTGAGGCAGCTGTTCCCGTGGGACGAGGGCGGCCTCTGGGGCCTCGTGCTGCTCCGTCACCCCCGGTTCCGGTACAGGGCGCAGGCAGGCTGGGTGCACCTGCCCTGTGATTCCGAGCAGAAGGAGCGGTCCCCCAGGGGATCCTTCGGGGCTGGAGGCTGGGATTCTCTCCTGAGATGGGGCTGGAGGACTTGCTAAGGTAGGGGTGTCGAACTCAATCAGAGAAGGGGCCAAAATCTAAAATCCAGCCTAAATCGCGGGCTGAATGGTTTACTGAACAGTCATAAACTGTCATTGTGATGGAAACGCAGCGGAGTGCAGTGATGACAGCGCGGTGCGGGCCACATTGCAAGGCCTGGCGGGACGGATTTGGCCCGCGGGCCTTGTGTTTGACACATGTGTGCTAAGGGCTTGAGGTCACGCAGACGGGGCAGGAGGACTTGCTAAGGGCTTGAGGTCACGCAGAGCATTTTCCAGGGTCCAGGGCTGAAGGCTGGCCAGAGCCTGGTTCCTGCCACCCGACAAGGGCCCAGGGCAGCAGTGTCTTTGCCAGGGTCAGGGGCACGGATCTCATGAAGCTGTCCTGCCCAGGCTCCAGGGTGGGAAGGAAGGCAGCCACTGTGTCCTTCCTGCCGAATCCCTTTCCTGGGGCACTGCGGCCTCAGGGGCCCATGGATCACTGCCCCTCTCCCACAGGGCACAGCGGCCACCCGGCCCCTTCCCAAGTCAGTGCACGCTCCCGGCTCCCACTCTCCTCAGACTGCAGGTTCTCAGCGGATGGCCCTGCTTGTTATCACTGAGGAAGACACAAGCACTCAGAAGAGAAATTTCTCCTTCTCTCGTCATCCACTCTGAGTCTACCTCCATCTCCACTTGAAATTCCGCCTTCCCCACTCACTGCCACTGCTCTGCCTGGCTCCGGATTCCCACCCCTCATCCAGCTCAAGCTTCCATCTGCAACTCCCTCTCTTTCCCCCCAAACTGCCCTTCTCTCCCGCATGCTTCCCACCCACCTGCAAAGACACCTCCCTTCTCTAACCATCCTCCCTGCACCCATCTTCCCCTCTGGCCACCACCCCGTGTTTGATCCCACAACATCGATGCCTCCACTTGCTCCGCCTCCCCTCCTCCCTCTCTCTATAATCAGGTGTAAGTCCTCCACGCTTGGACCGGTCTTGTCAAGGTCATTGGCGATATTGATGACGCTGATGGTCCAGTCTCGGTTCTCGCCTTCCTCATGCCTGTGGTGTCTTTCAAACTGAGTCCCAGCCCTCCGTTGGCTTTGGGGGCACTACTCTCCCTGGAGTGCCCTCCCGCCTTCCCCACTCCATCCGGACCCCGGGATGTGGAGCGTCCCTCGGTCCAGCCCCCGGGCGGCTTCCCTGCGCTGGCTACACTCCCTCCTGGACGATCTCCTCTGGTCTCCAGGCTCTAACTACCATCTGCACCCAGATGGCTTCTGAACGTGCACCTCTAGTCCGGGTCTCTAGCCTAAGCTCCAGGCTGCAACAGCCAGCTGCTGACTCCATATCTCACCCTGGATGTTGTCCAACCGAATATATTCCCAACTGGCCCGCTCCCTGCCTCCCTCCGCCTGCTCCTCCCTCCATTTCAACAAGCGGTAACACCGTTCGCCCAGCGGCTCAAGCCAAAGTCTGCCCTGAGGTCTCTGGTCAGCCCTCTCTTCACAATATATCCCAGAATCTGACCACGGCACTCACCTTCTCCACGTGGACCCTGGTCCACCCCTCCTCTGTTGCTTCCACCCTTCCCCTCTGTCTCCTGTCCACACAGCAGCAGAGTGGTCTTGGGCTCCCATTGCACTTGGTCCTGCTGTGGCCTGGGAGGAGCCTGCCCGCAGCCCCACCACTCTGCGCCCTCCTGCCCCGCTATTCTTTCTCCCGCTCACTCAGCCCTGCCCGGCATCAGTCTACTACACCAAGTCTACACTGAGCCCCTGGCCACACCCCTGATCGGGTGTCTCCACCAGGACACGGCACCCAACGCCGACTGACAGGGACACTGAATGGCAGGGACACCGAATGGCGAGCTTCAACCCAGCCCTTCAGCCAGGGTCTCCTCCCAGGTGAGGAGGCGGGGCCTGCGGCTGTTCAACAGGAGGCCAGGGGTCACGTTCACTTCCTGGTGAGCTCCTTGGCATCCGTTTTCTCATTTGTAAAATAGGGTAGGGCATCCCCATCCAGCCCACCTCTCTGGCTGGTGGGAGGACCCACTGGGCCATGGCAGGGACCAAGTGCCTTAAAACGATCCAGACACGGCGTCTACGACTGGGCAGAGCAGACATGCTGGTGGGCGTGGCGTGGGCTCCTGGGGATGGCCGGCCCCTTCCCCAGACTCCTCCTCTCTTTGCTGTGGTTTCATTCACAGTCACTGCTCACAGCGGTTGGGTATCTCAGGCTGGGTATAACACAGGGTCCCCTCGGTGGACAGGACAGAAGATGCTCAACCGGAATGAGATGCCCTTGCCCCTCAGCGTGGCCGGACGTTGGCACCGCACGACGCGGAGGGGGAGCGAGGTACTTACGCCATGATAATCACGCTGAAGTCCAGCCAGTTCCACGGGTCCCGAAGGAAGGTGAACGCATGCAGGCAGAAGCCTCGGGCCAGTATCTTGACCAGAGACTCGAAGGTGTAAATGGCAGTGAAGGTGTACCTGGGAGGGAGAGACGGAAAGACGGTCTCTCAGGGGGGCGAAGCCTGCGGCCAGGCTTCCCGACTCCCCAGGTGGCGTGAGTCCTGCGCAGCCCCCTCTCAGGGCCCCGAGGCTGGGCTGGCGTCATGGGCTGAGCTGTGTCTCCAACCTCCAGCCAACAATCCATCTTCCCGTGTGATGACGCACTCAGAGGGCCTGCCATGTGCCCCCTGTGCCTCCATCGCCCCTTGGCTGTCCTGATGTAAGAGGACCCTGCACCTACCGCCTTAACCCAGCCCTGGGAGTCCGTGGGCACAGGCGTATGGTGGCCACTGGGTCTGCCCCGAGGGACAGTGAGGACACCCAAGTCACAGCCCCCCACCTTCTTTGTGGGTGAGGAGAGCATGGTCCACGCTCAACCACCTACTGGCTACAGATGTCTCTCTTGACCTTGGGAAGGCAGTTCATATTCTGACACTGGGTAGGGATGGGTAGGGACTGTTCTCTCTGCCTGGGGTGGGCTGAAGGATCCTAAATGCCTGGATGTGGGGACTGTGGCCCCCAGGAATGGGAGAGGGCCACACTCCGTGCCTCCCAGGTCTCAGCAGCCGGATGCAGGCCCCTGGGAGGGGGCAGCACCGAGGGAACCTGTGTGAACAGGGACTGCCACCCGCAAGCTGCTTCCATCTTCTGAACTCAGGAGCCAGACGCACCACCGGCCATGCCTCCTAGCGGCAGGGTATCAGGCAAGGTACCTGCCTCCTCCTCTGCCACACAGGGTTAGGCCTCCCCTCCTGGGCTGTCGTGAGGGTTAAAGGAGATGATGATGTCTACTGTTCGATGACAGCGTCTGCCTGCGCTAAGTGCTCAATCAATTATTATTGCTGCTGCTGCTGTTGTTTCAGAGCCTTCTCCAATGTCCTCCGGTCTCTGTGGGAGGAACCCCTACTTTGCCAACCAGGAAAGCTTCCTCCCCTCACTGAGGGCACAACTCAGAGCGGAAAGCTGGCAGGAGTGGAAGCGGCAAAAGAGGGTGGCGGCTGGGCCAACTACCCCCGAGGAGGGTGAGTCCCTGAGCCTGGACCCAGCCCTCTTCAGGGGTGACTGCAGGAGCTGCAGAATAGAAGGGAAGGGGAGGGAGGGAGGGCCAGCCGGAGAGGCCCTGGAGATACTCACTCGACATACTTGGTCCAGGACGGAGGGTCGTGCTGGGCCATGAACACGCAGTTGGTCAGGATGGTGCACATGATGAGCATGCTGAAGAGCGTGGGCCGGGGGTCAAGGAAAACCAGGCTGGGGGCCAGCGGGGCTACCACCGCCAGAGGGGCCTGGCCCGGGGGCGTCACTCCCAGGCCAGAGCTGCCACATCAGTGAGACAGAGGCTCCAAGAAGGCACACTGGAGCTGTGCCCAGGCCTTACCGACCTCCGCTCCGAGGCTGGCCGCCGTGCCCTCCCTGGCATGGCAGCCCCTGAGCGGGACAAGACACACGAACCTGCACCTTTAGCAGGTCCCCTGAAGGGTCCATCTGGAGGCAAGGGGGGAGGGCACGCCCGGACCTCAGAGGTTTTTACAGCCTCTTTGGAGGGAGGTGGCATTTGTAAACCTCCTCAGGGGCCACTGTCGGAGAGGAAGGCCATGGTGCAGGGTCCGAGGATCTCCCCCCGCGCCCCCCAACACACACACACTTCTGTAGGAGCAGCCCAGGCTGACCTGTGGCCTAGTACAGTGGTCGGCAAACTGCGGCTCACGAGCCACCTGTGGCTCTTTGGCCCCTTGAGTGTGGCTCTTCCACAAAATACCACGGCCTGGGTGAGTCTATGTTGAAGAAGTGGCGTTAGAAGGAGTTTAAGTTTAAAAAAATGTGGCTCTCCAAAGAAATTTCCATCGTTGTCCTGTTGATATTTGGCTCTGCAGACTAATGAGTTTGCAGACCACGGGGCTAGGACTTCTCCATAGCAGTGTCCTGCTGACACAACGTCTATACCTTGTTGGGACACACTGACACTGGGAGGCAGGGGGCTGCTTCCCCAGCTGCTTCCAGCCTTTGCTCATCTCTTCCCTCATCCTCTCCTCCACCTAACGCACACCTTCTCCTCCTCTAAGACGCGCCCGGCTCTGAGCAGGAGCACCTCCAACCGGAGCACCCCAACAGAGCTCTCTCCAGCAGGAGCACCGTAGCATGTGGCTGCTCTCTGACTGCCAATGTCCCCAGCCAGAGGGGAGCTCTGCAAATGCTTGGACTGTCTTGGGCATCCTTCTGGGCCCTTGGCCTTGAACTGAACTGCCTCGGGTCTTGTCTGGCCCTGACCCTTTGGCTACAAGTCCCAGCTGCTGCTTCAGGCTTCCCTTACCCCTGCAAGACCTACAGAGAAGCAAGGGGCAGACCTTGGGCCCCTTGTGGGCTGGGGCACCCCCAAAAGGCCTGGCCTGGAACAGGAATACTCTGCTGCCCTCACAAACCCCCTCTCCAGCCAGAGAGGAGAGGTTGGGCCTCCTACTCCCTGTGGCTGCCTCCAGGCTCCCCACGCTGCCCCAGCCTCAGCCCCTCATTCCCACGGGCTGCCTGGAGCTGCAGTAATTGTGCTCCAGGGGCCTGCCTCCTTCCTCCTACCACAGCTCCACCTTCTCCACAGCCCGCCCCGGCCTCGGCAGCTGGGGAGACCAATGCAGTCAGACTGGAGATCGGGCTGAGCTGGGAGCTGACCTCTGAGTGGAGGGGCTGCCCAGCTGGAGGCAGAGGTGAGGCCTCTCAAGGAATCCAGGTGGCAGCTCTCCACACCCCCTCCAGTTTTCCTAGAGAAACGAGGGAGCCAGGCGAAGCATGCCAAACCCGGCCCCCAGCTACAATAAACTGTCCAGTTTCTTTTCCGGGATGAGAGGGGTCAGGCTTTGGAGCCCCCTTAATCAAACCGGAGCTGCTCAGCTCGAAAGCCACAGCCCCCAGGGAGCCTGCATCTTCCCTGGCAGGGGACACCCACCCCGGGCACTGGGGTCCCCTCCTTACCCCTAGCTTGGTGTCTGCATCCACCTGCCTGTGTGACAATCTCCTCCCTCTCCAGCTTTCAAAGGCAGGATCAGATTCCCATCTCAGTTTCCCTCTCTCTCTCTCTCACACACACACACATACACACACACACACACACACACACACGGGCTCCATGCTGAGTCTTTCCTCATCGGGCAGACAGTTCACAAGCCCCCGGACCAGCCTTTGCGCACCCCACAGACTGCTAAGCCCTCTATGCGGATCCCAGATGAGTCCTGCAATCTGAAATGACGCTAAGAGCAAGCATTAATGGGGGCTCCTCTCTCTGTATCCATGAACTCATTGGATTCTCCCAACTACAACTACCCATGAGGAGATACTTCGTAGCTAGAGGAGAGCAAGGCACCAAGAGGTTAAGCTGAAGGGTACTGTGGCCGGTAGAACAACAGCCCCCTGAAGACAACCACACCTAATCCCCAGAAACTATGATTATCAGTTGATATGGTAAAGGATCTTGGCAAATGTGGTTAAACTAAGGATCTCAAAATGCAGAGATTATCCTGGATTTTCTGGGTGGGCCCAGGGTCATCGCAGGGTCCTTACAAGTGAGTGGGGTGCGGTGTGGGGAGCGGGACAGGGAGCCAGCCTCGGAGGGATGAGTGTGAGAAAAACTCCACCAGCTGTCACGGCCTTAAAGACAGAATGGGCAAAGAGCCTATATATATATATTTCATTGATTTTACAGAGGAAGGGAGAGGGAGAGATAGAAACATCAATGATGAGAGAGAATCGTTGGTTGGCTGCCCTCTGCATGCCCTTACTGGGGATTGAGCCCGCAACCCAGGCATGTGCCCTAGGCTGGAATCGAACCTGGGACCCTTCCGTCCAGAGGCCGATGATCTATCCACTGAGCCAAACCAGCTAGGGCCCTGGTGATGTCTCGATGTTAGCCCTGGGAGAACTTTGTGGATTTCTGACTCCAGGAACTGCAAGGGGGCAGATTCCTGTTGCTTTAAGCTGCGAGGCTTGTAGGGATTCGTTGCAGCAGCCACATAAAATGACTGCTGGTCACAGCTGGTCCCTGGCAGAGCCCCGCTCAGCCACAGCTGCCCTGCAGCTGAGCCCGCCTCCTCACCCACCCTCCCAGGGGGAATGTGGCCCCACCCTCGGCCTCGGCCACAGAGCAGCATGAAAGCCAAACACACGAAAGGCTCACACCTGAGAGTAAGCAGCTCGGCCAGTGTGGCTCAGTGGCTGAGCGTCATCCTGTGCACCCAGAGGTCACTGGTTCCATTCCAGTCAGGGCACGTGCCTGGGCTGTGGGCTCCTTCCCCAGTAAGGGCCATGCAGGAGGCAGCTGATCAATGTCTCTCTCTCTCTCTCTAAACAATAAAAACATATATGTATATATATATATATATATATATATATATATATATATATATATATATATATATATATTTAAAAAGTGTAAGCAGCCCTGACCAGTTTGGCTCAGTGGATAGAGCCTTGGCCTGCGGACTGGAGGGTCCCCGGTTCGATTCCAGTCAAGGGCATGTACCTTGGTTGTGGGCGCATCTCCAGTAGGGGGCGTGCAAGAGGCAGCTGGTCGATGTTTCTAACTCTCTATCCCTCTCCCTTCCTCTCTGTGAAAAATCAACAACAACAAAAAATATATTTTTTAAAAAAAATGTAAGCAGACTGCCATGCAGGAGGAGTAAACTTATTTGCCATTTTTAAGAACAACCGCCACCTGAGCCGGCCCTCTGTGGGAGACAGGGAGGCCCCGGAGCCACCCGGGACTGCTCCGATAGGCTGCTATAAGAAACAAGCCCCGCCTCCGGCTGGGCTTCCTGGAGGAGGCGTTCAGACAGGTCCTGGAGGCTGGCTAGGCTTCTCCTAGCCATCCATCAGCCCAGCGGTCATGGCTAAGCAGGGTGGGCTGAGGAGGAGACCCCCCTCTGGGGAGCCAAGCCTCTCCTGGCTGTGCGGGAGCCGCTCGCAGCCTCACTAGAGCGGAGAAGGCACTCGGCAGGGAGCAGCAGGGTGGACAGGCCGCCTTGGCCCACAGGACTTGCCTGGACACGGACAGAGGGGAGCTGGACTCTGAGAGCCAGACTCAGGGAAGAGCCGCGGAGACAGCCCCCGAGTCCTGCAGCCGCCTGGGCTCTGCAGAGGGAGGTGACGGGCTGCCTCTCTGGGCACAGCAGACTCTAGTCTCTGCCCCTTGATGCTCAAAACCCTGCGGGCTCTCCTGGCCTTGAGGACGACCCTTCCACCACTCTCCGCCACTCGTGTGTGTGTGTGTGTGTGTGTGTGTGTGTGCGGCCACTTCCTACCTACGTTGAGCCTCAAGCCCATGGGGCTGTGTCCAAAGCGTCCCCAGGCCCCCCACGGAGCCCAGCCCGGAGAGATGAGTCAGGCGCACGCCTGGCCGGGCCACACCTGTTTGCACTGCCTGGTCCTTTCGGGCCGATGACTGAGCTGGCCCCGTGTGTGGGCAGAAGCACAGGCCAGCTCACCGGGCCTGAGCCCGGCGGAACATCTTCCGTCCTGCCCTGTCATCGTCCCCAAATGCCCACGCCCGGCCTCCTGATGAGAAAGCCAGCGAGGGCCGCCCGCGAGGACGGTGGGGGACGCCTGAGACTCCGGCTGCCTGCCTTCGGATCCCAAGGAGTCGACTCCACCAAGGGAAGAAGGAACAGTGCGGCTGTTTGCATAGATGTGTGCACACACACACACACACACACACGCGCGCGCAAACATGCGGCTTGATTGCCCATTTGAATCTGCCAGGGAGACGTGGGAGGATCTGTGAAGAGATCCTGGGCGCTGGGGAAAGCAAATGCCTCTTGGTGTGAACATGAGGCCTCTCAATGTGACTGCGGCGGGATGGCGAACTCGGCTGGCTCCTTTTAGTTAATCCCAGCAGGAACGCATCCTGCAGCATTTTAGCAGAGATACGTAGGGAGACGTGGTTCCACGTGCCCGTATGTACTTTGGAGGCGCCCTCCCCGCACGCAGGCACTGCCTGCGTGGGGCACAGGGCACAGCTGAGCTGAGTCAGCGGGCACCCGGCTAGCACAGCCCTGCGAACGCCCGGGTGGCTGCAATCCTGCCCCCTCCTGGGCCCATCTTTGCCCCTCTGCCCTTCCCACAGGGCCTGGCACAGACCTCGGCAGGGCGAGCACTTGGGTGTTTGAATGGGTAGGAAGAGCGAAGCCCGTGACGGGTGTAGAGTTTCCGTTTCGCAGGCTGAGGAAGTTCCAGTTTGTGGCCTGGCAGCGGGCATACAGGTGACATCACTGTACTGCCCCCTTAAGAATGGGTAAGGAGGTACATTTCATACGTCTTCTAACACAGTGAAACATGTAAGCAGAGAGGAAGTTCATCATTCAAAACGTGAAACCTGCAACGGCTAACGGGCAGGGGGTTTCTGCTCGGGGTGGTGACGTGTCTGGTACGTGAGTTACATCTTTATTTTATTTTTTAAAAATGCACAGAAAAGCTGCAGAGCCCTAGGCCTCACACGGGTGACGGAGGTCTGAGACGGGCCAGGAATAGGCGATTTTAACACGTGTTCCAGGTGAGACCGACTGGTTTTTGGAAACAATTGCCCTAGGCCAGTGGTCGGCAAAGTCATTCGTCAACAGAGTCAAACATCAACTGTACAAACCGTTGACATTTCTTTGGAGAGCCACATTTTTTTAAACTTAAACTTCTCCTAATGCCACTTCTTCTAAATAGACTCGCCTGGGCCGTGGTATTTTGTGGAAGAGCCACACTCCAGGGGCCAAAGAGCCGCATGTGGCTCGCGTGAGCCGCGGTTTGCCGACCACTGCCCTAGGAATTTTGTTCAGGAATCCTTGGGACCTGCTAAAAGGTTTGCAAGTTGGGCCTGAGATCTGGCAATTCCTACAAGGTCCTCGCGATGTTGATGCCGCTGGGGGGTGCACCACACTCTAAATGGCAAGGCTTAGGGCACAGATCTAGGCCCCTTCCTCTTTGCCAGTGCCCCCTGAGCCCACTAGGGGCGCTGTTGACGGCCTGCCATGGGCTCCCACCCATCCCCAGGCAGTGGAGTGCCAAGGCAGCCGCCAGGAGCCCAGCACAGCGCCTCTCTCAATGCTGAGCCACTTCCCTGGGGCTGCTGTCCTGAGAGATACAGGCTGGCTCAGAGCCCTCAGCGCTAGTCCTGCTGGGGGGCACCAGGTTCCTCCCCCAGCCTCAGAACCACTGTTCAGTGGGCCCTCTGGCTAGGCTGGGACCTCCAGTGTCCCCACCGCTTCCCAGGCCCACCTCCTCCCTGGCCTCATCAGCCCCACCCCCCGCCCAGGGCAGTGCAGGGGCCCTGGGGCTGCTGCAGCATCTCTGGGGGCTGCTGCCGCTGCCAGGCAGTGCTGGGTTGGTTAGATACCAGGAGGAGAAGCCCCAGGGGGGAGCCCGAGCAGGTGCCAGGGAGGCCACGCCCTTGGAGCGAGGCCGCCCTCGGGCTCAGAGCAAGAGAGGCAGCCGGTCGGTCTCTCCTCTCCACTGCCCGCCCCACTGTTCTTGCCACACACCTGCAGGAATGACAGCTATTCCTGTAGCTGTCTCATCCTCTTAGGGGGGGGGCTATAACATTCCCGAGGGGGCAAGGACAGGGCCCTCTTCAGCTTAATACCCTCAGGGCGCCCAGCAAAGTCCCGGGCATCTACAGCGCGCTTGGGACCAGGGGCAGAATGGCCCCAAGTGAAATCTGGAATCACTCTCGCCTCACCGAGTAAGATGGAGCTGTGCATGGCAGGCTGCCCCCTGAACACGGCCCCTCTCCGCGGACGTGTCTGTCTCCCCCTTCCCTCCCCCGCAGCTGATGCCGCTGCCACAGCCCCAGTGTGGGGTTTCCCTGGCCTTCCGCGTGTCTCAGGCACCTCCTGAGAAAGGCAGGCGCGAGCGGAGGAGGGGAGAGAGAGGGCCTGCAAGCCGAGAGCAGAGGCAGCGCTGCGCCCCTCCTGCTAACCCCTGGGGTGAGGCTCGGCATGAGGCCCGGGGTGGGGGGAGCAATCCTCAGCCCTGCCTGGGCAGAAAGACCCTGAGCTGTCAGCAATGGTCCTGGCTACTTTGACCCTCCCTGGGCAGCTGTCTTCCTGAGCCTCTTGCCCGCCCAGAGGTTCATGGGTGAGGTCCCTGCCTCTGGCCCTCCAGAGTGGGGAACTATGGGAGGGGGTGCCTTCAGGGGCTCCATCAGGCCAGCCCACCACACCCACAACTCCTCACACGGCTGAGCCCGGCAGCATGGACGCCCGGGGCTCTGCCGCCAGCTCTGCCCTCTCGGAGCGCTGTCTGTGGGGCCCGTCTTCTGAAGTCTGGAGAACAGCCGTGCCCGGATGCTGGCACCCCATCCCATGGGTGTTCCGAGATCAGTACACGTCCCCCCGACTCCCCAGCTCTCCTGGGCGGCCGCAGCTTTTTCAGGCTGCGGTTTATAGAACTGAACGCGAACCCGGGCTCTTTGAGATGCTCCGAAAGTGCAAACATCGCGTCAACACCTCGTCAAAAAGCAGGCACTGCCCCCCCTCAGAAGATGCCCAAGCGCCGACGAGCCAGAGGCCTCTTTCTTGGAAAGTGGCTTCTCCTCGGCTGAGCCGGGGCGACCTGCTGGAGGTCCCTGCGAGTGGGCGGGAGGTGCAGGGGGAGGGGACGCCTGGGGACAGTACCAGAGCCAGGGGGCACTGACCCACCTCCTTCCTTCTGGCACGCTCAGTAGCTTAGCTCCTAGGACATTTCTCCCCTAAAAGACCAGAGCAAGGTGCCCCCAACTTCCGTGGGCCCAGGACTCTGCTGGGACCGGGCTTAAACGCAGGTGCTGGCTGGCAGGTCCGGGCCGGGGTGGGACACTCTGCATTGCCAGATGCCCCTCTCCCCGCAGCTGAGGACCATGCTGCTTGCTTGAGGACTGGCCAGGAACTGGCCCTGCCTGGTCCACCAGCCACGTGGGGCCCAGAGGGCACTCGGCGCGGGCACTGCCCGCAAAGGATATGAATGAACCAGGATCTTCACGGCCGCTCTCCGGACGGGGTGGAACGGGCTGAGGATGTACAAGGCGTTGGTGGCGCTGAACCGGAAGATGGTCTTGCCTTTGTTCAGCACGATGAAGGTCTGTGGACGGAAAGCTGCTTTAAGTCGGGGTGGCAGCTCCTCGGCCCTCGTGGAGGCAGATTGGGGGGGGGGGGCAGTGTTGGCTCAGAACCCTAGAGCCGTGACTAACGGGCGGGGTGGCAAGAAGAGAGGGCCTGAGGGAGGGGTGAGGGGTGGGGGAGCAGCATATTCTGAAGGTCACTGGGACTCTCACTGGGACCCCACGGCTGGGAGGGGGTGAGGTCAAGTTCAGGAGCCTGTCAAGGGTGGGTGGGATTTCCTTCACTTTCAAAATTACCATCCCAACAAGAAGGGGCCCTCCTGAGCCTGGCCCAGCTGATGCTCCCTCCTTCTCCTTCTCCCTCGGACCCCTCCCCGCCTGGTGTGGCTTCCGCATTGGACCACGGGGGAGGGAAGACTGAGGGGTGAAGACTGAGGGGTGAGGAAAGGGCAGACCCCAGCCTAGCAGAGAGCAGCGTTCCCGTGACCCTGTCTCCCCGAGCCCAGGACAGACGTCAGCCCCATCCCATGACATATCAATAGTGTCTCCCCTGGAGGGGTTGGGAGCAGCCCAAGGTAGACCCTTCCCCAAGCTCCAGAAGACACTGTCTGCACAGCACGATGGAGCATGAGCATTGTGGCCGGGCCTGAGGCACGTCAGTGGGTGTTTGGGCCGGCCCTGAGGCCAGCGGCCGCGCCCCTGCCCAGCTGTATGGTGGCACGGCCCAGGGCTCTCGCTTCCCTAAGGCTGTCGTAGCTGGTGAGACAAAGCTCTGTTTGCTCTGGGTAGGGAGACGGGTTGACCAGATATCCCAGGACCCAAAGGGCTGCCGTGGTGCCCGCCTCGCCCTGTGGGTTGCGGGCAGTGTGGCAGGGGTCAGAAAGGAGACACAGAGGTTAGAGACCAGAATCAGGCCTGGGCCTCGGTTCAAGTATTCCCGGTCACAGGGACAGAAGAGAGTGTCCCTGACTCCATCCAGGCTCAGCTGCCACCAGCCCCCAGAGCTCAGCCCCGCCGCTGGGGCCCCGTGCCATGGCCGCTGCCTGTCTCAGGAACCGCAACCTAACCACCCCTCTGACGCGCCCGGTGACTTGCCCCCAGCTGCGGTCTTACCCGGACCCTAATCCTTCCTTCCAGCTCTGACCCACCATGACCTACGCCCGCCCACCCTGACGAAACAAACCCCAGCTTCCAGCCTCACTCTGACCCAAACTGTGGCCCCAGCCAGCAGCCTGAACCCCGCCCGAGTCTCCTTTCTGACCCCTGCCACACTGCGGGCACCACGGCAGCCCTTTGGGTCAGGTTCAAGGTCTCCCTGCCCACCTGTGCGCGAACACACACTGCGTGGCTTTCCCTTCACCCTCACTCTCCCACACCAGCATTCACGCGTGGAGACAGTCTGGAACCACGCCTGCCCTCAGCCCCTCAGTCTCCTGAATGCCATCTCAGCACAGTCAGGCGCTGAAGACGCAGACACACAGCGCTGACACCTGCCGTGGACTTGGCGCCCGCCCTGGGAGCAGAGGCTCTGGCCGCACTCACTGCTTCTGTGGCCCTGTGCTGACTGCAGTGCTGTGGGCGGCCACGGTCCTCCTGGGGAAAAGTTGTCGCCCAAGTTCAAACCCACTTTCCTCCAGCAGGGAGGGTCAAGTGTGGGTGGCCACGCTGGGGACCAGGCCTCTGCAGGAGCCCTGCGTGCCTGGGGTCTGGCCGGGTGCAGAGGTGAGGTCAGGGCGGGGACCCTTCTGGATAGAAATCTATACGAGGGAGCCTGACTCACCATGTCCGGTGGGTGGGTAAAGCTACCTCCCCTCCCTACACTGAGGAGGGACGAAGGCAGGACAAGCCCCTCCCCATCCCTCTCAGATTCCCCACCAGCCAGCTTGGTCCCACTGCCAGCAGAGCAAGGCCCAGTGAGTCCTCCCAGGCTGACCGCTGTCCCCAGTTAGGAGCGGGGAGCCATGCTCTGGGGCCCACACTCAACCCAGGACAGGACTCGGGGCCCGCCTCCAGTTCACACACACCGTGGGGACGGGGTGCAGAGCTCCGGAGGTGGAGGCTAAACCCGGACAATTCCCAAAACAGGGACTCCTCCCCCAGGAAGCAAGGCTGGCCCTCTCTTTCTTCCCAACACCAGACAGCCTCAGGCTGCATGTCTCTGGCCTTTCGTTCTGGAACTCCAAAGGAGAGGTGATTGGAATATAGATCACCGATGACTCACCCCCCCAAGCCCAGAGGAGCCCGCCCTGGAGAGCCCAGCATGGCGGCCAGGCCCTGGGGACGCGGGCAGGGGGAGAGGGGGCGGGGGTGGCCGTCACCTTCTGGGTGCTATAGTAGGGGTCCAAGTCCTCCAGGGGCTCCCCGAGGAGCTCTCGGGGTGGGGTGCCGTAGAGATCTGGCAGCTTTTTCGAGGCCTGCAGGTCCAGCTGGGGCTGGAGAGCCTCCTCCTCGGGCAGCCCGTCCCGGCTCTCCTGCAGGGTGGCCGAGCCCCGGGCCTGCTTCTCCGCCATGCGCTTCTCGATGGCCGCCAGGGACTCCCGGGTGAACCTGTGGAAGCTGCTGGGGCCCCGAGGTAACAGGAAGTCTGCCATCTTCTCATCCTGCTTCTGGGGCCCAGGCGGTCCTCCGGCCTCCGGCGGCTGCCTGGGGGGAAGCTGGAAGACACAGACACCAGGCCTGAGGCTCGGCCAGGGCCAGAGGGCAGGCAGGGGGCTGGGTCTGCAGGGGAGCGGCTGTGCTGGTGGAGGGAAGGGCAAGGTTTGCGAAGATGCTCCCAGACCAGGCCCGGCCTCCACGGGCACACCTGAGGGCTGGCCTGGGTAAGCCCAGGGCCCTCCAGGCTGTGGGTGTGTGTGCCCAGGGGCCCATAGGACGGTCACGCCTCACACCCCAAAGTGCACATCCGAGTGCAAGTGGGTAAGAGTGATGGCATCATCAAAGCGCCTTTAAAAAAAAAATTAAAAAAAAATTATATATATATATATATATATATATATATATATATATATATATATATATATATAATTGCTTTTCCACAGAGAGAAGGGAGAGGGATAGAGAGTTAGAAACATCAATGAGAAACATCCATCAGCTGCCTCTTGCATATTCTTTACTGGGGATGTGCCCGTAACCAAGGTACATGCCCTTGACTGGAATCAAACCTGGGACCTTTCAGTCTGCAGGCTGATGCTCTATCCACTGAGACAAACCGGTTTCGGCCAAGCTCCTCTTTCTGCCCCCCTCAGCACTTGTTGGCTCCTTCACCAATCGCACTTTTTAAAAATATATTTTTATTGATTTCAGAGAGGAAGGGAGAGAGAGGGAGAGAGAGAGAGAGAGAGAGAGAGAGAGAGAGAGAGAGAGAGAGAGAGAGAGAGAGACAGACACCATTGGGAGAGAATCATTGATTGGCTGTTTCCCCGCATGCCCCACCCTCTGGATCAGCATGTAACCTGGGTCCTAGGTGAGCCACCGTGGCTGGGCCCTCGTGCACTTGGAGACACTTCTCACAGCTGTGTGACACGCTGTGGACTGAGAGGGACACCCCAGGGGGCAGGGGCGGGCCTGCCATCCCTTCATCTCAGATCTCTGGCAGGCCTAGTCCTGAACCAACGAATGATGGACGGAGCGACAGAGAACACGCCGGTGAGGGGCCAGGGCGTCAGAAGGTCCCCAGGCAGCCCCTCTCAAGGTTGTTCTTTCCGTAGGAAACCCCGGGGCCCTGGGAGGGTGGTCAGACGCCTCCTGGACCGAAGCCCACACTCTGGGCTTCCTTTCCAGCCAGGGTGGTGGGCCGCAGAGTGGGGGACACTCTGTCTGGTCTCCCCACAGCACCGTGGGCCTGCCTGGGGGAGGGGGCGGGGACCCAGACTCGCATGAGGCCTGGAGGTGCCAACATCTGGCAACAGACGGGGGCGTCTGTGTCTGCCAAGAGACCCAGGCAAATCCCGTGGGCTTCTGGGAACAGCTGAGTAACAAGTTTGGAGCTGTCATCCAGATGTTGGCACCTTGGCGGGGGGGTACACAGCTGCCGAGGAGCCCAGCTGAGTAACAAGTTTGGAGCTGTCATCCAGATGTTGGCACCTGGGGGGGGGGGAGGTACACAGCTGCCGAGGAGCCCTGCTGGGAAGATGGCAAAGAGAGGGATCCTTGCGAAGACGGAAACGCTGACAGAGCACCTCGGGCTCCGATTGCCACCCCCCCCCCCCTGAGTCTGAACAAAGCAGGGCTGATCCCAAGTGACAGCAGAACCGGAAAGCGGCGGCCACTCATCCACCAGCTCGTCCAGCCGGCACACGCATGTGACGCCAAACCGGGAGAATGTGGCTCCTGGTGGCCTCAAGTGATCCAGGACCTGGTGCGAACATGCTCTGCCCATGACACAGAGGCCAAGGAATGCGCTCCCGACGGTCCCACCAAAACAGGATGTGGCCGGCACAGCTCCCACGAGGACGCGGCCGGGAAGCGGGGCCGCTAATGACATCAGCCCCGGGCACTGCCAGGCACCGGCTCCGAGGGCGAGGGGCGCACCTGTTGGAGTTCGCTGCCAGGGCAGAATCCCTCTCTGGCACCCGAGGGCCAGCGTGGCTTTGCTCTTCCCTCCTGCGAACCATGTCCCCGAGGACCCCGCCGAGCTGCCTGCCGCCCAGCCCCACGCACTGTGGGTTGCCGTGAACGGGGCACCTGGCCAGGTGACAGGTCACCAGCCAGCAGACACCACACAGGCAGCCTGGGATGTGTGTGACCGGTACGGGAGTATCTGGAGGTCCCAGGACCTTCGCTTTGAAACCACTGCCGTGCGAGTCAAGGGAAGAAGCCTCTTTGTTAAGAGTTGCAGGTGTGCCAAGACCGGTTTGGCTCAGTGGATAGAGCGTCGGCCTGCGGACTGAAAGGTCCCAGGTTCGATCCCGGTCAAGGGCACGTACCTTGGTTGTGGGCACATCCCCAGTGGGGGGTGTACAGGAGGCAGCTGATGGATGTTTCTCTCTCATGGATGTTTCTAACTCTCTATCCCTCTCCCTTCCTCTTTGTAAAAAAGCAATAAAATATATTAAAAAAAAAAAGAGTTGAAGGTGAGGAAGGAGGTTTCCCTTTGATGAAAGCCTGTGTCTGGCTACCTCGTCCCTGGTGGGAATGGCGGCGGCTTGTCTCAGCCTGTGGAAATCGGGGTAACCGTGAATACTCATCTTTGTGCTTTTCTTCAGTGCTTGAACTATTGGGAGGTCGTGTGTTATTTTTAGGAGAACAATAAGGTCAGTGTTCTTTTTAAACAAGCAAACAAACAAACAAACAAACGCCCGCCTGGACGCAAGGCAGTCCTCGCCACCGTGAGCCACTAGAGCCGTACATCGAGAAACCTCCTCTTTGCTCGGAAATATTTCCTAAAAATAGTGTCTCTGCCTCTGTCCCACTGTATCCATCTGTGTCCACATGCCTGCAACGGTTCTGGAGAGACCCATATGTCATGGACCTGCAGAGGCTCACCAGTACACACAGGTGTAGGTGTGTGTGTGCGTGTGTGTGTGTGTGTATGTGTGTGTGTGTGTGTGTGTGTGTGTGCAAGCTCACACCTGCATATACGTCTGTTCTAGTAAAGGTGGTTTTGTTGTTGTTCTTTTTAATCTTCACCAACAGTGTTTACTTAATTGATTATTTTTTTGAGACCGAGAGAGAGGAGAGATAGAGATAGAGGAGATAGAGGAGAAAGAGAGAGGAGAGAGAGGAGAGAGAGGAGAGAGAGGAGAGAGAGAGAGAGAGAGAGAGAGAGAGAGAGAGATGCTAGAGAGAAACACTGATTGGTTGCCTCCTGAACGTGCCCTGACCAGGATCAAACCTGCAAAGTAGGCATGTGCCCTGACCAGGAATTGAACCTGTGCCCTTTTTGTTGTCCTGGACAAAACTCCAATTCACTGAGCCACCCGGCCAGGGCAGGGAAGGCGTTCTTAAAATTTGTACTGAAATAAACTATTCATGCAAATTGGTGAACGAATCCTAAGTGTACAAGTGGGTGAATTTCCACAAACTTAACACTTGGTAACTAGCATCCAGGTCAAGAAATAAATTGCTCCCAGCCCTTCAGACTGGGGTTCCCCTCCTGTCACTAACTAACTACCCTCCCTCACCCAGGGTAACCATTGTTCTGACTGCCAACAGCACAGATCAGCTTTGCTCATCGGTGTAGTTCACAAGAGTTCCTAACAGACCTCTGGCAGGGATGGGGAATGAAAGAATTCGGGGGGCCTGGAGGGGGGGTCCTGCATCTCCTTCTCATTAACCTCTCTCTGAAACTTAGCATTTCCTCCCTTATGAATGCAGGCAGCAAAATGGAAGTGCTGGGCAGTACCCACGGCCACTAGCGACTGAGGTTAAGCCCCTACCCCATCCCAGGCATGGCGGGCATCTAGATATCGTTAATGCTCGTCGATACTTCAAAATCACAATGCTCATCCACCGGCTGCTACAGCGTATGGTTTGCTACGTTCATAAAGAGGCCCTGCGGACGGGGCCCTGGGTCTCAGGAGGGGCCCTTGGGGGTCAGTGGTTTCTGAAACCAGATTCCCGACCAAGTTCCCTGCCCCCCAGCAGCCAGGCAGCTCAGTCTCCACAGTAAACCAGCCGGGGTGTCCTTTGTCTCCGGCCCCGCAGGCGGCTCCTGGTAGGCGGGCGGGATCCATTCTCTCCCTGGTTCCTGCACCTGCTCTGGCCCAGCCCCTCCTCCAGCAGCTCGGGGCCGCGCCCTGCGGTGGCTGAGCCTGGCTGAGCCCTGGCTGCAAGGTTTCCGGTGATGGTCGGAGGTGGTCTGAGGGCGCTCCAGGCTCAGGTCCAGCCAGGCGGGTCCCCAGCTTTCCCGGGAGGACCAACCTCGGGCTGGGGAAGACCAGGGAGCCCCTCTTGCTCCAACATGTGGGGGAGCGTGGACCTGATTTAATCCAAAGCCCACAGCTACGCTTGTCGATACCAGCCTCCACGACACTCTTCTCCCTCCCGGGACAGCTTCTCCGTCAGCTCCTCCCCAGGCTGGGGCAGCTTCTTCCCGCTTCCCTGCTCCTGGGCCAGTGTTCCCTGCTCTAGGGACACCCCTCCGCCGCCCCCACTCCATCCTGAACTTCTTCAGCTTCTGGCTAGCGAGAACACCTCTCCCTAAGTTCTGCTGGCTCCCAAGAATCCACAGGAGCGAACCGTGAACTCCCCTTTCAGACTGGTTCCTCCTGCCATCCTTTCCTCTGACACTGGCCACAACCCCCACCCCACCAACCATCATGGTCTCCACCCCCAGGGCCACTGCCCAAGGACAGGCCTCCCGGTCCCAGCTGGGACCACATGCTCCCTCTTTCCTCCTCCCTCTCGTCTCTTCCCCCCCGCACCCCCCCCCAACTCCCCGCACCACCCCTCCCACCCCCCCTGTATACCTCCCACCACTCCTCAGCTCAGACATCCCCAAACTCTTCCCCTGCCCTGTGTGACGGTACCCCACTGCCTCCGGGACCCCTTCTCTGACTGCCCACCCATAATGACCTCCCCCCTCCGGGTCGGGAGGCTGGGCCCAGCCTGAAGCCCTTGACCCCTTCCTGGTCTCCACTGTCCTCTGACAGCTGTCAGGTGAGTCTGGCATCCCCAAGCAGCCTGGAAGCCTGTGCGTCACTGGGGAGGGATG